TCCTTTCTGGTATGCATTCATCCATTTGACACAGTTTTGTGGCGGGCTGTACAGGGAAGCTTAAGAAAAATGCTTTCCTCTTGTCTTGATGATAAAATGCGCTTCTCACTCTGGGTAGCATGGCAGTAACTTTTCATTCCTCCTGGCAGTTTTTAAAGACTTATTTGACTTTGGGGAACCCACAGTATATCTTTAAGGTGCAGTTCAAAAGTATAAGACAGGGCTGCTCATTTTCAATTTTGGCTGAGAAGTGTTAGCTTTGACTGTGACACTTCAAAGTTAGAGAAAACTTGGTTTTTAAAAATGGATGCTGATATGAGCTGGCATATTTAATGACAGCTGTATCTATAGAAAGCTGTTACGATGCAGATTATCCCTCCTGGGGTGGGGAGGGAGATCAAACTGCCAATCTATAAAATATACTCGATAGAAGAAGGAATGGAATCTATCTTTGCAAGTCCTCTGATTGCAGGGGACAGAGCAGCAGCATGTGGCATCATAACCTGGAGCAGACAAATCAGCTTGATGACTTTCAGAGCCAGGAAGACTGCTGCAGGCAAGGGTACTCCAGACTAGGAGAAATTAAAACATATAGAGACTGTTATTAATTTCATATCTATTTTTGTATAGTCAAATCTGTATGCAAATCCTTAGCATCTCATTTCAGCAGATTAATCTGAAGTGAAGAGTGGTATGTGAAGGGAATGTAATGATGAAGCTCTTTGGAATGAATGTGGGTTGAAAACTTGGATGCTTTCTGTAAAATTTGTTTTTTTTTCTACTGCAAAGAAATGGATTTGTTTCTATGCTCATTTGTAAATTACTTCAAAAGGAAGAGAGATAGAGGCAATTCCCTAGTTTCCCTTTGCCACCCCGACTTGGCACAAGTTACAGCACTGGCTTGCCAGGCGCCTCCTGTGTCTTCATGTTCTGGAGGTAATCATGCAGATAACTCTCTGGGACTTTTATTTTTATTCCCAACTAGGTATCCAGTATCTCATTTCTGAGCAGTATCATATGAGTAAAAATTTTTGTGTAATGCTAAGGAATCTAATTACTGAGTGCAGATTAATAAAAACCATATTCTGGATGAATCTGCGGAAATGAATAAGCAGCAACTCTGAACGGTAATTCTGAACAGCCTGGTTATCAGTGGTATATACTCCATGGGCCAGAGGGGGTGTGGTGGCCGCACGGTCACCCGCCAATTGTGCATTTAATCTGTGGTGGGCAGACAGTGCTGTCAATGTGTTCAATGATGTCCTCAAGTGGGTCATTTACTGCCAGAGAGCTTACTTCTGCTCCCTGTTTCTAAAACAAGTAGAGGTCTTTCAGAGTTTCCCAGTGAGAACGGGAGAGCTTGGCCTCCTGTTTGCATTCAGTTAAAGAAATGATTACTATCATATCATCTGTGAATAGTGAGGTATCCCAGAAGGAGAAAGACACACATGGTATATACTCACTCAGAGTCCTATAAGATATGATAAACATAATGAAATCTATACACCTAAAGAAGATAAACAAGAAAGAGGACTCAGGGTAAGATGATCAATCCTCACTTAGAAAGACAAATGGGAGGTGCAGTGGACATAGAAGAAAACAAGTAACAGGACAGGAGTCTACCGCAGAGGGCCTCTGAAAGACTCTACCTAGCAGTGTATCAAAGCAGTTATTAAGACTCATAACCAAACCTGCGGCAGAGTGCAGGGAATCATATGAAAGAAGGGGGAGTTTGTATGACACGGAAAGGATAGGAGCTGCACAAGGACCAAATATATCTGGGCACAGGGGTCTTTTCTGAGACTGACACTCTACCAAGGACCATGTATGGATATAACCTAGAACCTCTGCTCAGTTGTAGCCCATGGTAGCTCAGTAACCAATTGGTTTCCCATAGTAAGGGGAACAGGGACTATTTCTGACAGGAACTCAAGGGCAGACTCTTTGACCTCCCCACCCCCCAAGGGAGGAGCAGCCCTGCTAGGCCACAGAGGAGGACTTTGCAGCTAGTCCTGAAGATACCTGATAAAACAGGGTCAGATGAAAGGGGAGGAGGTCCTCCCTAATCAGTGGACTTGGAAAGGGGCAGGGAGGAAATGAGAAAGGTAAGGAGGGTTTGGGAAGGAATGAGGGAGCGGGATACAGCTGGGATATGGAGTTAATAAAATGTAACTAATAAAAAATATAAATAAATAAATAAATAAATAGATAGATAGATAGATAGATAAATAGATAAATAAATAAATAAATAAATAAATAAATAAATAAATAAATAAATAAATAAATAAATAAATAAATAAATGATTAGAGGCATTGTAGACAGTGATCAGGTGGATTATGGCCCCCAACACATGCACTGGGCATTCATTCTAGCCTTGAACACGTGTGGTCTCCACAGATTCACTATTCTTAAATGGTTTTGCCAAGAGAGAATTCTTCAACATTTCATTTTTAATCAGACAGGAAGCAAATATTGGGGGTAAAAGGAAATACAGCTCTATATTTATTTTAATGTACAATTTGACTCTAAGTTGGGATTTTAACTTCAGATTTCTTAAATGTGGTTCTTTCTTTCTTTCCTTTAATTTCTTTCTTTTTGAGGCAGCAATTCTTTTTTCCATTTCTTTTTTAATTTTTTTCTTCACAATTTATTCATTATATATCCCAATTGAAGCCCCCTCCCTCAACTTCTCCTAGTCCTACCCTCTCTCCCTCTTCCCCTTATCCTCTTTCTATAGTCCACTGAAAGGGGAAATTCTCCACTATTGCTATCTGCCCATAACTTGTTAAGTCTCATCAGGACTGCCTGCTCTTCCTCCGTGGCCTGACAAGGCTGCATCACCAGGAGGAGTGATCAAAGAGCAGTCAACTGGGTTCAGCTAGAGGCAGCCGCTGCTCCCCTTACTCAGAGATCCACATGGAGACTGAGCTGCCAATTGGCCACCTCTGAGCAATTCTTTGTAAGTCCTGGAACTCACTCTGTAGATCAGACTGGCCTTGAATTCACAGAGACCCACATTTAAGAAACCTGGAGTTAAAATCTCAACATAGAGTCAAATTGTATATCAAAATAAATACAGAGCCCATCTCTTTATGTATCTAGTGGTATTGATGTTAATGGGTTATTCTAAGTCAGCTTGGAGTTACATATTAATCCTCTGGACTCCGAATCACTTAATTCTTGGTGATGGAGGTGATGGTAAAGACCTGCTCAGAGCATTCAGGCTGTCAGCACAAAAAACAAAAACAAATCAAACAAACTGCTGGGTGACGTAAGATAGTCAAGGAGGACAAAGATGAAAATAGAGTTTGGAATCAGCTCTATGAAAACACTAGGTTTTCCTCAGCACCAGAGGGAGCAAATGAAGGACTTTGGAAGAAGGCTACTGAATGGCTGTGTCAAGCACACTCAGTTGTTCCTCAGTTTGCAACCTTTTTCTCTGGAATTAGGCCATATCAAAGTCAGGCTCTTTTCCTCTCCTAAAAACAGGGAGAAGGAGACCCTTTTCCTTCATAATTATATTTCAAAGAGATCTGGATTCTCAAAAAGATACTGTTTCCTAAAAGTGGCAAGTATCTTAAAATAATTGACATTTCAAAAAGACAGAGAACATCATTACAGTTATATTAATCTAAAGTAAATAAATTTGAAAAAGCAAGGCCAGGGTCCTACTGCCAAAAAGCAGCATAAGCTTTAGCCATCTATGTCTTCAAAATTGGGGGGTGGGGGTGGGAGGGACTCTATAGGAACATCTTTTGCACCTGATCCAATTTTGAATTCATATTATAGAGTCATGTTTTTCTGATACTTATTAAGAATATTCTTTTATACTATCTAGAACTACTTAAGGCAGTATTGATGAAGATAGGTTTTAAGTCCTCATATTCCCATTGTTGAATTGCTTAAAAATATCTCACTTTTTGGTTGATGTGCTGTTCTTAGACTTTTTCCACCTAAGAGTAAAAGTTAAGCTATGTTTTACACAGAATCTGAAGATAATTTTGTACAGAATTTTCATTGTTCCTTTGTTTTCACTGTCGCACCTCACTTGAGACCAGATGTAAGATGGTCTACTTATGCTATCCTGTCTGCATTCAGCAAGTTTCTGATTTCGAACTGTCTTCAACCTATGTGGGGACAAGTAGAAAAAGCAGTTTAATGTGTTGATTCTTACAGTTCCTAATTAAGTAGAAGGTCTGAGTCTCCTAAATATAAGCCTGTAGAAAGGACTTTTTAAAAAGTTGACCGAAGTGGTTGCACGGGAGTTTATAGTGTGCTGTTTCCCTTGGTAGCCATTAGCCTCTAGCTCCGTGTCTCACATTAAATGCTTGAAATGTGGCTCTATCAAATCTGTGCTGTATCAGAAACACTCTGGGTTTTGAAGATTTTTATGAAAAAAATCCTCAGTAAATTATATATGGACTTCAGATTAAGATATGCTTATCAAATTGAGGTAAGTAAAATGTATTATTAAATACAGTTCCTCTGCTTCTACTGTTCGGTGTGGCACAGCCATGGATATTGCTCTCTACCACACAGTGCCGGCCCTGTCTTTTGATAGCTAGTGACTTTTGCTGTATGTGTTCATCAAAACCATAGCAAGCTGTCACCTTGCTAGTGCACAGAGCTAGGAGCTCTGACGTCGCCCACTTAGCCCAGGACGGGTACTGTCTGTATAACTCTGTCCCTAGATAAATTAGAGAGAAATGTAATCTGTGTGCTATAGTCACCCCACTCCTTTGCCCTTGATCTGGCCATGCACAGCAGCTAGAACCGGAGGCCTCTTGCACCATCAGTGTCTTCACTGTGCCTCTCAAGCAGATTGCCATGGAAATGCTTCTGGAGGAGGAAGCAGCTTCTACAATAAGTTTAATTGTTGTGTTGTTTGAGAGCGCACAGGTACAGCGGCAGCTCACTGCCCTTGGATTGTAGCCCAGCCTTACTTTGGAAGACCCCGTTTCCTGTCCACAGGAAACTAACATGTGCTCCTCTCCCGCAGGTGGCGTGACTAACACAGCACAGTATCAAAACAGACTGATGGTGTACGAGCCTAACCAGGTAAGCGTGATGAGAAGTCATCACCTTCATTAAAACACATGTTGAACAATTCCCCAAAAAAGAAAAACAAAAGACAAAAAATTGTAATAAATAAAACAATTAAAATAAAAAAACCACAAAAAAACCCAATTCCCCAGGAATTATTAACTGGGACAAATGCACCTTAAGCTAGGTGGGGAAAAGCAAGCATCTTGAGGGAAAGCCTTTGGTTCCCTATTATGATGGCAAGCTGTCAGCTCCTCTAGTTCCATGCTATATGTAATGCTGGAGAGCTTTGCGTAGTGCAGAGGGGGCTTTGACTATAGCCATGTCCTTCTGTAAGGGACGCCATTTGGAGCAGAAAACATCACTATGACCTTGTTATTCTCAAATCAAATAATGTCATTTGACTTAATGACATTATATTATATTGTCATTATATTATATACTGTCAATATATTATATATATAATATTATATTATTAATATAGCCAACAATATTCTATACCTAGGACAAACATGAATTAAGTGTGTCTGAAAAGATCTGGGAATGTCATGTCTCCAATAGCTGGGTCCTTTCTGTGCCCCTTTGGCACGCTGAATCTCTCCTTTCCCCTAGAAGAAGAATGTTTTTATTCTCTTCTCTTTCTATTGAAGTATCTACAAACTGTGCAGATACCTGCTGAATGTTGCCCTTTCCTTGACTTGGATATCTAAATATGTCTTGACTGGGACAGTATTCCAATATGGCGTGACGTGGGGGTTGATATCTATCATCTGGCAGTCTTAGGGTAGGAGACAACAGGTTGGCTTTGGCAGACTGCACATGGGTATGCGCCACAAGCGCGTGCACAGTGGCCCCCGCGTCCCTGCTGCATTTTCACAATGGCTTGACTGAGGAAGGCATTTCTCCTTTCACAAGTGTGTTTCCTGATACTGTTAGAAGCTGTAGATTGCAGAGATTGGATGTTCATGGGTCAGCTGTCTCGTGAGAGATCACTAATTGCCGAAGCCCGAGTTTGGTGCACACATGGTTAAGGAGGAAGACGGCATTAACATTGCTGAAATGAGCTCTGGTTCGTGTTTGTACACACATGCTCTTTTTTAAGGATTCTGCTGGCATATTGTTTACGGTGGGTACTGGCAAACATCACATCTGCTTGCATCTTGCTCAGAATCTCAATAACTCTATCATTCAGCCCTGGTGCTTATTTCTCTGCTAGGCCTTTGTGGAGAGTCGATAATGCCTGCCATCTGCCACAGAGCACATCGCTACCTGCCAACAGGCAGGCTGGGTGACCTCTGCTTCCCCACTACTGATTAGTATTCACACGCCAGCTTATTAGGAATGACCCCACCAGGCCTCGCTGCTTCTTTGCCTTTGCGGCGGGTGGCGGCTCACCTGGCAGGCACTGCAGAGAAGGAAGCTAAAGATATAATCAGGGGATGTAGGCAGGCTTTGCAAACCAGATGGCATCTACAGTCTTGTGGCAGGGGACTGGGCTGCTAATGTAAACACCGATTCCTAATGCTGTAATAGGTTATCGCAAAGAGAACACCCAAGATAAGCATCGTCGGAATTTTTAAATTCACTCAAGCATAATGCATTAAAGATGTTTTGTAGCAAAATGTCTCAAATCTATTTGACTATTTATTAAAGACTGTATTTTATTGAGGAGGGTCTGTGTTCAGAGGAGCTGGACAATATAAATCTCTCAAACTAACAACTTCTTTTTGTCTCCACTTTACCCTGAAAAATTAGAAATGAGCTAATGTATGCCTACAATGAATAAATGCCACAGTGTGTGCCTATAGCAAACAAATGCCACACTGAGTGCCTGTTGTGAATGCCACACTGTGCGCCTGCAGTGACTAAATGCTGCATTATGCATTCCTATAGTGATAAGTGCCTGTAATATACACGCCAATGTTTATATAAGCATGTGCTTGTAGCCTGCTTTTTTCCCTTACAGCTTTGTGAACTGCTGAAATTCTATGCATGCAAAACATCATGATTTTTCTGGCTCAAGTCCAATTTTGTCTTGGCAACAAGGAAATGAGGTTCTTCCTATACGTTGAGTATTTGTGAAGGAAGTGGTTAGGTATATTTATTGATATATCACTTGGTTTAGTTGTCTGTCAGTTAGTTGAGACTTAAATTTAAAGCCATGGTTGACTTTCATAAAATTTTAAGATTTGTATTGCATTTTAAATCGGAATCTTTTCTTGAGGGGCTGATCACAGTTTTCTCAATACTAAGGACCATCTAGAGCCAAATATTAAAGATTTCTCCATTCTTTGACATTGCCATGTAAAACTTGGCCTTCTACCAATATAAATATGTCTAGACCTAATTGCCCTATTTGGCAAAAGGCATAATTGTAAATATGCTAAAGCATGAGAGGATTTGGGTACAAAGGAAACAGTAATTTTATAACTGAGCCAAATCTTAGCTTGTCCTCTGATCTCTAGGTTAATGTTGGTAAAAAATGGGAAAGTTACCCCCACCCTAACTTCTCTGGGACCTTTGTTACTCAATGTGTGTATGTCTTTTTTTTTTTTTTTTTTTTAGCAATGTCTTACTTTGTAGCCCTGTCCCTGTCTAACGTGAAATTCAGTGCATAGACCAGACTGGCTTTGAACTCACAGAGATCTGCCTGCCTATGCCTCCCGAATTCTGGAATGAAAGGCTGTCACCACCACTCTTGGCCCCAATCCCTGTGTTTTTTAAAACAGAGAGCATGCACTGGACATTTTTACCTGTGAGGCATTTTCTAAATCAGAACTGGCTGTCATGCAGGTTTTATTATCCCAATTGTGTAGACAAGCACAGAGGAGTTCAGCGAATGCTTAAGACTGCACGTGAGTGATGGCTTAGTAGTCTCCACCTCGACTGTTTCGATTACACACTATCTTCTCCATTGTGCCAGCCACGTGCTCAAGCCTGAGTAACTTCCATGAGTTAAGCATCATGAAATTTTATAATTGCATATGCAAAATGCAAAAGGCACACCTACCAAAAATTTTCATGTAAGTCCAAATCCAAGATTATGCAGGATTTTTTTTCTTGTGTTCACAGTACAAAAGCCATACCTCTCAACACATAAATCATATGCAGATTAGATGTGGGTGACACTAGGGTTCTTATTTCTAATGAGGCACCACTCATTGCCTTTGGTATTTGTGAGGTCTCTTTAACCCAATAAACCTGAATTTTTTTTTTTCCAGAATAAGTGGATAAGCCGCAGCCCCATGCTACAGAGAAGGGTCTATCACTCCATGGCTGCTGTGCAGAGGAAGCTTTATGTTCTTGGAGGCAATGACCTAGATTATAATAATGACCGGATTCTTGTGCGTCATATAGACTCTTACAACATTGACACTGATCAGTGGACACGCTGTAATTTCAACTTGTTGACTGGCAAGTATCTTTGGTTAAGCAACTTAAAAACAAAAATAGGGACTGGAGAGAGGGCTAAGAGTACTAGTTACTCCTCTAAAGGATGTGGGCTTGAATCCACCACCCTGGTAACATCTCACAACTGTCTGTAATTCCAGTCGCAGGGGATCTTAAGACCCCAGAACACATGTAGTGTAGTAAGTACACACATAGGCACACATACAAAGAAAATAAAAATATTTTTGAAATGTCTAAATATAAAAACAAAAAGTAGAATAGAGATTCAAAACATCTCCATACTTGTGTCTTGGACATCCAGAGTTCATCTCTAAATATGTGAATGGGGGGTAGTTCCAATTGTTTTCTTTACCCAGGAAGACCTGAACAGTTGCTAGCTAAAAGCAGGGCTTGTTCAGGTGGCTGGCAATACAGTTCCTATTTGGCCTCTGTGTAGGTTCTCATCTGAACGAGAAAACCGTATCAATTCCCTTTTCATCAATTGATAATCGTGCGAGAACTTTAACACAGGTAGGAGGGAAAAGGCACAAAAATAGTTAATTATGTATTCTTTTTTTAAAAGTTAGGGTTTCGGGGCTGGAGAAATGGCTCCATGATTAAGAGCACTGTTTGCTCTTCCCAAGGACCCAGGTTCAGTTCCCAGCACCCACATGGCAGCTCACAGCTATCTGTAGCTCTAGTTCCAGAGGATGCAACACCCCCACTCAGACATACACGCAGGCAAAACACCAATGCACATGGCATGGAGAGTTAAAAAGGCAGTAAGTGAAGGCCAGGGCCTCACGCACATCAGGCTTCAGAGCCTTGTGATGCCCGCCCACCGCCTGCCTTTTCCCAGGGTCACACTTTGCTGCTGCCTGCCCATTGTACGCAGTGCTGGGCACTGAGCGTGCTGGCTGGCACGCTACCAGCTGGGCCACAAGCAGAGTCTATGTTCCACTGCTCGCTGCTCAGTCCTTTTTTATCTCTCGGGACTTGAGGAGAATGGTGGTTGTCACCGTTTTTCACGCCTGTATGTTGTTTCCCTGTGTATTCTAGAAATTAAACTTTAGAGCTGCTCTGTGCAGCTCTCTGAGCTGCATTTCTGGCCACACGTCCCTCCCCAGGTATTTGCAGAGCAATCATAGAAGTGGCCCCAATTCATCGCAGAGGGAAGTGGAGTGAACGTGGCAATAATGCCCTTGCCCTGATGTTCTAGATGGAGCAGAAAACAGTCCCTCTTATCGGCTCCCATGAGGAACGTCCACTGTTGGCAGCGTCCCTTGCCGGGCTGTTTTAAGTCAGTGGAAAAATCACAAACTATAAATGGTGGGTTAGAGCAGTTCTTGAAGACATTTACTATGGAGAGTGGGGCTCCAGTCCCTCACAGACACTGCTGGGAGGCAGCACTGGGAACACAGCGGGATATCAGATGCTCTCTATCAAGCTCCTTTTTGCAAAGTGATTTTTAGGCTTATTTTAAGTACTGGACTCTCAGGTATAGTGGTATCTCAGATTCTAGATCCCTAGATCTGTGATTCTGCCTTCAACTATTACTCCAGTCAGTCCCATGTCAGCTCATCAATAAAAATAGACCTACACTCTCTGATTGCCTCCAGGGAAAAGCGTATGGTAGTGAGTTATGCTGTCTTCTCTTTTGAAATGGGAGGGGAATCCTTTCATCATCTTGGCGTGCCAGTATCTCGGGAGAGTGCAGACTGGTCTCAGCTTGGGAACTTTAATATAATCTTAAAACTGTTGGCTATGTAAAGGAAGGATGGTGGCAACTGTATCTGTTTTGGCTGCCATTTATCTTCATTTGAGGCATGCAGGGGCATGGCTGGATTTTTTTTTGCCTCAGGGTTGCAGTTGTTACTTCATAAAGGTAAGCACTTGCCTATATTTTTGTGGGCACAAATGTTATATGGAGTACAATGGATGTTTCCATACCTAAAATATTCCTTATTTCCACCACTTTAAACTAATGGCATACAGAATAATTTGGAATTGTTGGTTCTAAACAGCTTGCTGTTGCTATATGCAGTGCTACATTTAATAAGGTGTTGGCCAATAGATACTTTGGCCTGCTCCTAACTAGACATAGATTCACTCTTTGAGAAGTAGTGGCTAACTCATTTTAGTTCTGGAGACAGTGATTAATTGCTGTAAAATTCCTGTGGAGTATACAAATATGCCACAGGGGAAAACTGTATCCCTCAGTGGCAAAAGGGTTAATTAAAACATGCTAGAAATGGAATTTTTTTCTTTTTACTCAATTCTCTTTACTTTAGGCCAGAATGAATCTGGAGTTGCTGTCCATAATGGGAGAATATATTTAGTTGGTGGATATTCAATTTGGACAAATGAGCCTCTGGCTTGTATCCAGGTGAGTGGTTGAAGTTCCTTTTGAAGTTTGTTCAAGTGGTTCAGCGAGGTTATGTTTTGCAATTCAGCTGCAGAAGGAGATATTTATGTGTAGAGAGGCTCCAGGTCCCTTTCTTAGTGTAGCTAGTTCCACCTGTGTTCTATATCCTAGAAATGACTACTAAATGACTGGGGCTTTTAAAGTTAGGCACAATCTTCAAACATCTATAAAATATACCAGACATCGAGAACTTCCAGTAGCTCACCAGTGTTAGCAGGTGAAAAAAGGGAAACTTCAGCAGTAATCACTTTGTACTCCAACAATTTTAAAGATACCTCATCTTTATGAATTTTGTATATTTCAGTTTATTCACTTTCAGAATTGTCACCTGCAGAGGTATTCTTCCTTCCTGGCAGAGGTTCCTAGAAATAGTGGTTTCTGGGTGGTCTGATAGGACAGCTTATGCCCTGAAGACTAGTCAATTCACAAGTGAATGGAACAAGCTTGTCTTGGCAGGGTGCCAGCTGAGCCTCGCAAAACAGAAACACATACTTCCCAGTGCGCTTTGTAATTCTCGTGTGTTCTCTGGTAAAATCTTGGCATATCTTAACCCCAACTTCTCTAACATATCCTTAGAATGACTCATATTTTTTAACCTAATCATGGTGGGAAAACTTTTTTGAAACTATTTAAATATTTTTAATGGTTGCAAAATGATTCTAGTATTATAACTATAATTATTTCTTCTTCATCATCATCATCATTAGATAGGAATCCTATGCAGCCCTGGCTTGCCTGAGACTCATTCTGTAGGCCAGGGTGACCTCAGACTCTAGAGATCTGCCCCCGAGTGCTGGGTTAGCGGCCCGCACCAGCACACCCAGCCATCCCAGCTCTGTTTTTAGTTGTATCTCATGAGGGATGTCCCCACGTGTCTCCCAAGAAGTGTGTGTTTGTTAAGGAGCTTTCCCTCCACGCTGCCTGCTCAAGATCACCAGTGTCTACTTGCTGTATTCCGCTAGATATGTCCCTCCTTTACTTTCATGCTATCATTTGTCTTTTCTGCTCTTGGTTTGTCTCACCACAGGTTACCCGGACATATCCTACATACTTCTGCTATTCACAGAGATCAAGTAGCTATGAAAACGTGATTGCCATCTTTGGCTGAACAGACATGAGTTTTATGGTGAATAGCTAGAATTGAGTTTTCTTAGCACACAGGGATATTCATAAAATTCAGTCATCCTTTGCAGTTAAAGTTAAGAGGAAGATCTAAAAAATTTAGTCTTATGTGATGCTAACACAATTGTAGGTAAATTTGAACTTAACAAAATGCAAAATTAAGCCTCTCTATACCTGGAAATGACAAAACACGCTGCCCTATAACTGAGCTGAAAGTCACAACGAAACAAAGAACCTAAGAACTCTGTAATAAATGCAAGTGGTATGCAGCATTGTAGCCTAACAAGCTAGAAAACGAACTTTAAAATGAACTCAAAGTAGAAGATAATAAAAATGAAAGCAAGGTAATGACTAGGAAACAGTAATACAGTAGAAAATGTGAGCATACGAAGCATGTGGATCTCATAACCAACAAGTACTGCTTTCTCCCGGGGAGCGGCCTGTCTTCAACCAACCATGTTTTTGGCAATTTTCAGTCCTTTGGGTTTCTTCACCACTTTTCAGAGTTGAGAAGACATTGGATCAGGCAGGAGTATTTCGTAGCGCCAAAATGCTGTGCTATAAGTGGCCTAGGAAACTTCAATTTAGTTTGCATTTTCATTAAGTTGCAAAAGTCCGACACGATTATGGGTATATTTCTACTAACATTAGTGACGGGTTAGCTTTATGAATAAGAGATAAATTAAACTATAAAGAGAAAAATAAGAGCAGAATGTTTTGAGGTCTACTTTGGCAACATAGTGTGTTATACAGAACATTTAAAAAATAAAACGAACAAAAACACTTGACTGTGATATTGTTTATCTGCAGAGTGTTTTTCCTTAGGAGGCTACCTAACCTTGTACACAAACTTTTCAATATTTTTGAGGTGTTTTGCTTGCCTTTATGTCTGGGCACCACATGCATACAGTGCCCAAAGGTACCAGAAGAGGGCATCAGGTACCACTGGGGATCAAACCTGGCTCTTCTCCAAGACTAGCAAGCGCTCTTAGCCACTGAGCCATCTCTCCAGCCCCCTTCATCAATTCATTGCTAATAATGGCTAGCTATTTGCATAGAAACTTTGTTCAAGAAATGAATGTGTGCCTGTTCTAAACCACTGAGGAACAACATTCAAGAATTTCCTCTGGGTTAAGGTAACACTAAAAGAACAGATTTTAAAAATTTTAATTAATGCTTGTTTTAACGCAGTGAATTTTACCTTTAAGATCACAAAATAAAATATATTAGTACATTTCTTAAAAAAAAAAAAAACACAGGTGTTTCAGTAGCCATAGTAATGAACATATCAACCCTCTTGGAAATTCTATCTACCAAGCACAGAAAAACTTAAGAAAAAGGTTTTCTCTTTTCCTTTCTTTAATATTTTCTACATTTGTGTGTGTGTGTGTGTGTGTGTGTGTGTGTGTGTCAGCCACAATACACACGTGGAGGTCAGATGACTATCATGTGGGTCCAGGGAATAAACTCCAGTTATCTGGCTTGGCAGCAGGCAGTTGTACTACTAAACCATCTCTCTGTTCCTGCGTTCAGTTTTCACATTGTTAGGTATCTGTGTGCTGTGGGTGTGCATGTGTGTGCATGATAACGTGTACATAGGCACATGTGTCCATGGGTGCTCATGAACTGTGGTGTGCCTTCAGGCGTCTTCCTTCATTGTACTTTACTTACTTTCCTGAGTGGGTCTCTCACTGAACTGGAGTGTGCCCAGAATGACTACTGTAGCTAGCAAGGCAGCCTGTGGGTGGATCCTATCTCTGCCTCCCAAGTGCTGGAATCACAACTGCCTACCACATCTGTCTGTACTTTACATGGATTCTGGGACTCTGAAGTCTGGTCTTTGTGCTTGCAGGGCAAGCCCTTTTCCCTGAGCTGTCTCGCTAGCCCAATAAGCAAGCATGTATAAAAGCCCTTATACTTAGTGGATCTGTACACACTAGCATATGGTTTACACTTAGACATTTGTAAACAAAATCTTCATGGGTAATAGCGTTTTTAAAGATTCATTTTAAACGATGCGTTTGTGTGTGTGTGTTTGTGTGTGCCTCTGAGCACCTGAGTTCACAGAAGCTAGAGGCTTTGGATCCATGTGGAGCTGGAGTTACAGGTAGTTATGAATTCCCCAACATGGGTGCTGGGAACTGAACTCTGGTCTTCTGCAAGAGCAGTGTGCACTCTAAACCTCTTAGCCATCTCTCTAGCCACAGTAATATTTTTCTGTATTGCATATCTTGCTTTCTAGCTGTTGGCTGGGTATCTTTTCAACCTTCGGCTCAAATATTTCTACTTTGTTGCTGACTACAGATCTGTTTATTTTCACATATTAACAGTAACATATCAGTGGATGGCGAGGCCAGCTCTGTGTGCAAAGGCAGGTCACTTCCCTGTCATGGTTAGTACTTGGGGGAATAATAGCCGAAAGGGAAGCAAGGCAATGGAAGGCAGGAATGTGAGCATGGGAAAATGTTGGTTACACAGGAGACGTTCCTAATGATAGAACAGAGTAGTGACGAGAAGCACATGCACACTAAAACTATCAAAATCTAACTTTTTGTCACAGACCCCTTTAATTCATGATCCAAGATTAATTTGTAAATGAGCAGTCTAATTATCAGAGCTGATTAATGAAGATTATAGTTAAATAGTTTAGACTTCTCTCATTAGTATCCAAAACTAATTTTGTTTTCCTTAAAAATAACAACCAATACTCGTCTTAGCAGACTTCCCCTTCTGGCCTGTAATCCAGGTTCATTTAACAGTCATTTGTGGGGTCAGCCAGCTGGGGTGACATACATGATAAGCCATTTCAACCATTACCGAATTAGCATCTGCTACTCCATTCGCTGCAAGACAGTCCAGGCTGGGCAAAGCTAGAAAGTTCTTATACTAACATGTCAAAAGAGTGAGGTTTAGAACCACTAGTAATACACTCATAGGATATAGATCCTGAAAAAAAAAAAAAGGCACTCATTAATTTTGTGGGCATGGAGGAGCTGTCTGGCATGCAGCCTGACTCTAGTCTGGTGTGCCAGTGGTGGCTGGTACACATGGGCAGCCATGTGGGCGTGCAGGTGATTGCTCTGTGTTTCCAGCTTATCCGCTGGTATTCTCCTTTACCATTACTTCCTTTTGGGTGGGAGATATGCTGCCAATCTGGCACTGCTGTTTCCCCCATGTTTTCTTTCTGCCAGTTTACAAGGGAGTGTTTTGGAAAAATCTGCCAAAAGCTTTCCTTTTCCTTCCCAGATTGAATCCATCACGTCGGCGTGACATATGCAGCCGCTGTGGGGCCAGGGAACCACACAAGCTCTCAGGGTTAACTCGCCGTTATCTGACTTCTAAAATGTGCTCATTTGGGGGAAGGCAGTAAGTCCTTGCTCTTCTGGGCTACCTCTTTGGATTAAAATACTGGCTAGATCTACGTACCATTTACAGTGAAGTTCACTCTAGAAACTCGCTTTTCTGTTTTCTTCTCTGAAAACTGAAGGCAGTACTTTACTTGTATGGGTGACTAATGCATCTCTGGTATCCAGCTATTTCTGGGGGTGCATAGGTCAGGGAGTCTAAGAATCTAAAGAAATTAATTCACATGAATTGTTATTGTTTAATCCAAATGGTAGAGCTTTACAAAGCGACATGGCTCTAGTTAACATCTCTGACTTGTTTCCATTAAGTAGGCAAAAAATGGAGGCATAGCTGTTGCTATTGTACCTTGCTAATAGACAAGGGGCTCACTTGGTATCTGAAATTTTGGAGGATGCTGTTGATATGTATTTTGGTGGTGTCCTTGCTAAGGGAGTCCAGTTTCTTGTATACAAAAACAGGCTGATAAACAACTAAGTCAGGGTCCAATGACTACCAGGAAGAGGAACAAGCAAGCCCCGGGCCATCAGCATCCCTGGGTGGGTACTACCCCCTAGAGCTGAAATTCAGATGCTCAGGCTCATTTTTTTTTTTTGGGGGGGGGGGGCTGTATTTCAGACTACTCCAGACTGGTTTATATAGAAGTAGCACTCTTGTGGATGAAGAGGCTCCTCCTTTCTTGGAAATAAAGAGGCCCAGAACTCTGCAGTTTTAGAGAACACCTGCAAATTAATCCATTTGGTTTATGAGTATACTAATTGCTGTGTAATAGCATTCCTCAGGAGATGTGAACAGGCCTCTACTCACCTAGATGGGGAACTAGTGACAGACCAATTACAGAGAACACCAAAGTCAAACTTGGTGAACCAATGAGTTTTATTGGGATTACCTACAGAAATATGGGTGAGGGGTTACTTACAGGAGCAGAAATGACTCAAAGACAGCTGTGCCGCCAGAGCCCAACCCAGTATGGGTGACAGCTTACAAGAGCTGGGAACCTGGAGCAGACTGTACAATCTTCTGGTACCTTAACAGGTTGGATACTGTCCTTTCACAGAGCCTCTGTTGGTCTAAGGCAGTTTCTCTAGTTTTGGTTTGTCTAGGCAGTTTGGCAGCTCTTTGCTCCATCCAGGCTGTTTGGTGGGTTTCTTTCAGACTCCCAGGTCTCAGTGTCCTCTAAGCAGCTCACCTTGTCTGAATATCACCTTTGTAGTTGGCTTGAAGAGTGATGCTCAGTAGTCTTTACTGTTTCTAAACTTTTAGAGTGATGCTCAGTAGTCTTTACTGTTTCTAAACTTTTAGGAAGGAGAGGACTAATGAATCAGGTCAGTTTCAGGGACTTCCTGAAACTTTTTGGAGTTGTGTACTTCCTGTTTTAAAGAGCTTCCCTGTAGGATGGAATGTTTCATCTCTTCGTAGAACATCCCATTGTTTCACCTCCTCTAGAAATCCTGTCCTAAAATATCCTGCTTTTTCACCTCCCTTTTACATCCTGTGTCTTATGAGATTCTTTCCACGATGGAAGGCTTTAACCCTGGAGGAAACTGCTACACACCAGTGGTTCTCAAACTTTCTAATGCTGCAACCCTTTAATGTAGTTCTTCATGTTGTGGAGACCCATAACCATAAAATTATTTTGCTGCTAACTGTACTTTTGCTATTGTTACGAACTATAATATAAAATTTTGATTATGCAAAATATCTGACATGCCCCCTCCCTCCAGAGGATGACAGGTTGAGAACCACTGCTCTGGGATATCAGAAAGCTTTAAAAAGTTGTTGGAAATAGGGACCTGAGGAGGGCATGCCAACTACTATGTTGATGGCAAAAGAAAAACCTAAGCATTCAAGGTGAGGCAGTATGTGAGGGGATCTCGTAGGATGAGCAGTTGAAACCAACAAGGACAATGAAGCAAAAGGATAATAATCATGGTTTGGTTATTGGGAAGGAGTTCATCTTTTCCTATGATCAGCTGTCTAAGACAGGTAAGTGGATGTTCCACAGGGTTGGGGAGAACCCAAGGAGTTAAGACAGAAGAAGTCTGAGAAAGTGTCTTGTTTTGTTATCTTAGAAGAGGGACTCTCCACTGAGAAAATATCTCCATAAGCAAACCTGTCAGGCATTCTCCTAATGAGGGATTGATGTGGTAGGGCCCAGTCCAATCTGGGCAGTACCACCCTTGGGCTAGTGGTCCAGAGGTGCATGAGAAAGCAGGCTGAGCTAGTAAATAGTATTCCTCCAGGACTTCTGCTTAAGTTCCTGCCTTCAGATTCCTGGCCTGACCACACTCAGTGATAAGAGAGTGACCTAAGAGTTGTAAGCTGAAATAAACCTTTTACTCCCCAAGTTGCCTTTGGTCATGGTATTTTACCACAGCAATAGAAACCCTAAGACACAGATTTTTACCAGGTAGAGGGGATATTGTTTTCAGGAGAAATGTGGTATCTGAACTTTGGACTGGAAAAGGCATCTAATCCTCTGAAGTTGGAGATCTGCTGTGGGAGCCAAGAAGATAAACCTGAGAGCAGTGCAGATGATGGAGGCCTGGCATATAAAGTTTCAGGGGGAAGCTGAGAGTCCCTGAAAGACTACCTCAAGTCATTAGATATTTTTAATTAAGAATCCATGGTTCTGGTCATCTAGGGGTGAAGATTAACAAAACACCAGAGCCAGTAAAGTGAAGCCTTGCTTTTCTGGGACAATGGATCCTGGTCAGCTGGCAATGAGACATTCAATGATTAAGAAGAGACTAGCATCAAGGTGAAACCTGGGAAGTGTTTCCTCAGAGTCAGCAAACAAGGGTGAGAGGGGTGTGGACAAGACTACCTTCTAGTAGCAGCTGAACTTGGCAATGCATAAAGTTCTCAGGTGTACTGCTTCTGAAGGCATGAAGGGGTCACTGAGAACAGCTGCGGTTTTGCCTGCAAGAGGCCTGGAGAGGGCACTGGTGAAGGTGCAGCCTGTTGCAGTGGAAGCCCCAGGACTGAAGGAATCATGGAGACAAGCTGAGGCTTGGAACCGTGTGGCAGAGTACGAGGCCAGAAGAGGCTACTGGTAAAGGTACAGTTACAGCAGAGACCCCAGCATTTTGGAGATGCTGGCACTAGAAGACTGCTAAGACAGCAACTGTAGGGTGGAGCCAGCCTGAGCCGAGACAAGTTGTGTGTGCTTCAAATGTCAGAACTAGAGAAATGGAACCCTTTAGCCTAGCAGGTGCACAGCTCCAGATACCAGACATTAAGCTATTCACACTTTTTGCTCTCACTTGAATGCGACTGCTCCCTGGTTCTTAGTTCTTGGAGGAAGAAAGTGTTTAACTTGTGTTTTGATTTTATAGGAACCCACAGTCGAGAGGCTCTGGATATTTCAGAGGCTATGAAATGTGAGATAGTGTTTTCATAGAGACTGAACTTCTGGGACTCTAAAACTCTAGAATGTAAACATTGAGATTGGAGAGCTTATGGGTGAACAAGAAAGTATTATAGCTGAATTGTCTGTATGACAAGTTGACAAGGGGTCAGCTGTCCTGTTTTTCTGTTTGTTTTGCTTTTGGGTCCCCCCCCCCATCAACTTGACACAGCTAAAGTTATCTTACAAGAGGAACCATAATTAAGAAAGTATCTCCAAAGGACTGGTCTGTAGGCAAGTTGGGGGAGCATGGTCATATTTTATCAAAGCAACAGAAAAGTACATCCAGTGAGAAAAATAATGCCTAAGGTGCCCCTTTTCACACATACACATTTTTGAGTAACGCCTCCCTCTATTTGGTGTAGGTATTGGACGTAAGCAGAGAAGGCAAAGAAGAGGTGTTCTATGGACCCACACTTCCCTTTGCTTCAAACGGAATAGCAGCGTGCTTCCTTCCGGCTCCATATTTCACATGCCCTAATCTTCAGACTCTTCAAGTGCCTCACCACAGGATCGGCACTGTCTGAAAAGCCAGCACTCTGTCAGCCACCACCACCAGGAGAGCGATGAGAGCTCGATATCTGGATACGGGGCATGAACATCCTCAGCGCCCGATGCTTCCCTGTCTTGTTTTACAGGTCTAAAATTGTGAGAAATACTAGCAAAAAAAAAATGAATAATTTTCTAAAACATATTACTGAGAACTTTGCCACTTCTTTTGGTGTATGTTAACATACAATGTGTGACTTTTGTTGTGGTGCACCTTACTGTCATCCTACTGGCACGCTACTGTTTCATGGATCTTTAAAACATTCCTTGTAACCCTGTTATAATCAGTGCTGTTGGATCATGTGACACTGTTAGTAAGGCACCTTTGACACATGGCTTCAGTTTTCTCATATCCTTCTGTACCTATGCCTTTCACTAAACATTAGCGGGCCATTTTTCAAACTTAACATTCTGCAGCTCTGCTCAGAAGAACTTCAGCAGGATGACATCATAAGCTTTAAGTGCCATATTTTATTCAAGGTGTTAGGAGTAACAGACTTGGAAAACTTAGTTTCCAACCTCCGTTACGCTGACCTTGTATCAGAACTTTATAGGGCTTAGGTTTCTCACCCTTGAAAGAGGATAATTACTAATTTTCACATTAACTGAAAAAAAAAATATATATATCTTGAGGATTAGGCAAATCTTCAGAACTTTGCCTAAGAAAAAGTTTTACTCAAATTCTAAGATGTTTTACTGTCTTTAGAGTGCTGTAACTGAAACCACATTATTTTCAAGTTTTTAAATTTCAAGATGGAATGTAGAAAAGGTCCTGTGGGATAAATGAGTCTGAGAGCATCAGAAAGACAGTGCACCTATCCTAAGTAAGAAAGCCAAAGATCCCTAAACTTGTACAAATACTTGCCTCAAAGAATTCTCTTAAATGCCTAATCTAAAATTTAAAAAAAAAAATTAGCTATACTAACCATGGCACCATAGAAGGCTGTGACATAAGACTGAGCTGAGAGTCAGCAGATATAATAGACATTTTCCAAATTGTTAAAGGCTATGTCAGTCTTGTGTACTTGTGGGATTTTCTGCCACTGCCAATACATTTTTGTTGTTTTTTCTTTTCTTTTCTTTTCTTTTTTTTACTACCACCAGTTTTAATAATGCACAATTTTTTTGTAGTATAGATTTTTGGGTTTGCTTTATCTCTAACTAAAAATGAATCACCTTAAAAATTCAACATGTCTGTTTTTTCTAATCTTGCCAAGACTTAAGGTCATTTTTATTAAAGGGAAGGCTATTTTCTCTCAGCTGCTGAGTCATTTGCTTATGTCATAGAAATTGTCTGTTTTACTTGAATAATCACTTTTTTAAATCATCATAAGTAAATGAAAAAAAATAATAATCCTTTTCTTTTTGTTCAGGGTGATCTTCAATTGGCTACATAGCTATGCTGGTGTCCAACTCATGATCCTCCCAAATAAAACAATCTTCTTACCTTAACAAATTCATTAATTTTACACAATGCTATATGATACCTGATATAAACAATCTCTATAACAGTTGCTGGGGTTACAGGACAGGAAGTGACAGAAAGGGTAAAAAAACAAAACCAAAAAACAGAAGTTCAAACAGGAACAAGGAGCATGTGGACTGTGAACAGTGACAGCTGATGCAGGTAAATGGCGAGACCATTTTTAAAAGCTGCCTCTGAGCCTTCAGAAATAAACTTACATGTTCTGAATGGAAAGTGCACTCCTGCCTCTCTGATTTGTTTCAGCACAGACCTAAATAAGAAATGTTTCAGACTTTCTACTTGGTATAGGAATTTTCTCTCTAGTAGTTGATCATGTAAAATCATTAAGTTCTATTTATGTTCCCAGGTCCTATACCCACTGAATAAAAGAAAATGGCTTAAAAATAAGCATGCCTGACTGATAATGGTAAGGGAGCTTGAGATGATCTTAGAATGTTCCCTGATTCGTTTCTAACTATTCACTTAGGCCAGCATAAATTACCAATTGCTCCTTGCTGGTCCTCATGGTTCACTTTCTGCAAAGTTTGGACATATTCTATTCTTCACATGTAAAATTAAAAAACAGCATCAAAAGTGTCATATTCTTTTAGTAAAAAGAAAAAAAAGATTGCTTAATTGGACTCTTTTCTGCAAAATCATCTACAATGAAGATAATCTGTGAAATTATACTTGATATATATAAGCAAATCTCACCTGAACTACTCAGCTGTATTCCCACCTATTATTTAAGTGTAGCAGCCTATAGTAACTTATCTCCCATCTTCAATCTTCAGAATTAAAGACTGTATTTTACTTTCCACATAAGACCATAAGACCTTGAAGCACTTAAACATCAAATGAGGATTTTACCTTAAAAAACTAAAACAAAAAGTTTCAACAATCATTCTACTATGAGAGGAAACTAGCAAAGACACAGCTCTCTATCTAAAATGTAAGATGCAATAAACTCCTAATCTTTAAAAATAAAATGCCAACAAAATTACAAATGTGACATTTTTGTACTTTCTCCTTGCTTTCTTTGCACCTGACATACACAAACAGCATCTCCTTAGCTAGTGCAAAAGTTAAAATCTTCAATTGTTTTTATACAAAGGTTAATAAGTGCAACACGGACAAGACGGATACTGTTTCTCTAGGTAACACAGCTCATTATCTTCATTGTATAATCACTAGCACAATGTAAGGTAGACGCATACATTAAATTTTATATACTTATCTTTATATGCAAACAACCTATAAATTACATATATGATAATATCTATAACAAGCTGGGTAACTACCAGCACAACAAAGTTCTAAGTCAGTCCTGGGGATGTGGCTCCATTGGCAGAGTGCTTGCCTTGCCTGCAGGAAGACTGGGTTTCCATACCCAGTATTGCATGGAGCTGGCTGTGGTGGTTCATGCTTGTAATCCCAGTATGCTTGAGAAGTCTTGGCTAACAAGAGAGTGCAAAAAAGGAAGCCTGAAACAGAGATTTTGACCCTGTCTTTCATAAATAGATATATAAATAAAATAACAAAATTGGTAAATTATAATCATGGGGTACTGAATTGGGTAACCTCACCATACAACTTATCACAGTGAAAACACAGCTCTCATATCTAATCAAAAATAGGAAAGAATATGCTATTCTGCTAGAATCCTAGATTGAGTGATTGTTTTAACCAAATAAAGCAAATTGTTTCTACCAACGATTTATACTTTGCTTCACTAGGCATTATATTTAACTCTAAGAAGGAGAGGCATACGGTTTTGCTCAGTACAGAAAAGATGAAGGACTTGAGAGAGCAGATTTCCAGGTTTCCCTCAAGGGTTTCCCAAAATGGAGAAACAGTTTTTACATACAATCTTAACTGTCAAAGATTCTATGGGAACTGAGTGTGGGGACTGTGGTGATACAAACCTGTCACTCCATCCTTCCAGCACTTGGTGGAAGGCTGGCGCAGGAAGGTTGCATATTAAAGGCTAGCCTGGGATACAGAAGACACTCAAAAAATAAATCCAACAAAAACAAATGAGAAAAAAAAGGCATTTAAGTCCATTTATTATTTAAGAACAAAATATCTTAAAAACAAGAAAGGGCCAGCGAGAGGGTAAAGATGCTGTCGCCAAGCATGATGACCTGCTTTAGAGCCTGGGACCCACACGGTAGAAGGAAACTGACTCTGCCAAGTTGTCCCTTGCCCTAAACATACACACACACACACACACACACACGCACACTTGCATCCACGCCCACACACACACACACAAATAGAGAAAAAAGGTAAAAGAACTCTGTTTAAAAGTGCGGCCAGTGTGGAACACATGCTTGTAATCTTCCACCGGGGCCTGAAGTATAGGTCCTCAAGTCTGGCCCGATCTACATGCTGACCTCACATAGGGAGCCACTGTCCCAACAAATCCAAATCACCAGGAAAACAAAACCACTAAAAAATTCCCCAGGAAACTTACAAAAAGATATGGTAAATGATACAAGATAATAAAAATCAATTAGTCCAAGACATAAAAAATCGTATTTTCTTAAATAAAGGCTGAGACAGAAAACAAGTCAAATGCAGCCATCATCACTTGATGGCTGGGAGTTATTCTGAGAAATGCACCCTTAGGTAAAATCATCGTACTTACGCAATAAGCGGCAGTCAGCCAATGCTTGTGGCCTCTGGATGCTACGCAGGTATGTGGAGCTGGGGTCATAAGGCAGACTGTTTTACAACACATTTTCCCAGTACTTTTATACATTAGGAGTATAATCTACGGCAGCGAGAGGGAATGAATACGCAAGGCCCAAGTCATCTGTCATGTGTATGTGCTGCATCTGGTCCTGTGTCTGGCAGGGAGCTCACCTGTCCCCACATCACAAGTGTCACATATCTTATACTGTGTGTTACAGTGGCTATCCACTTAGGTCAGGAACTTCGTAGCTCTGCCACGGGCTCATGGGCTTATCATCACTGAAGCATCACGCATCATGTGATTTCACTTACGAAAAAAAATGATAGGAAAAGACACAGGTATTTAAAATTATGAAATCCTTCTAGTGAAAATGAACTCAATACTGATTGATTTTTGCAGATGAGCCTCCAAATTCTTGTTACCCACGGAAACCATCTAATTAGATGCTAATTAAGCTGAAGTTTAAATCAAAACCAAATCTTAATGTCTGATAAAACATTTTCATCACTCTGTTGCCCTTCAATCATCTTTTATGCCCACCCCATCTGGTGCTTTATGGGTATTTGAGTGGAAATGCTCACATAGCCAATATGTACATTCTTCTTCCTACTTAATTGCTTTAAGTTTCTATAGAAATGATTTATTAATTTTCAGCTTCATGAAAAGGATGATGTACCACAATGACCAACTGAATGAACCAAAACGCAGAATGAACAAAATTCAGGGAAATCGGGGACCTGGAGAAAAGAAACTTGAAGACTGTCCATTTCCTTCCTGGCTGGCTGATTTTAATTATTAATTTTTTAAAATATTAATTAGTTTATTCACTTTGCATCCCAGCTGTAGCCCCCTCCCTCATTCCCTCCCAATCCCAACCCCCCTCCCTTATCTCCTCCCCCTCCCCTCTCCAAGTCCACTAATAGGGGAGGTCCTCCTCCCCTTCCATCTAACCCTAGCCTATCAGGTCTCATCAGGACTGGCTGCAATGTCTTCCCCTGTGGCCTGGTAAGGCTGCTCCCCCCCCAAGGGGAGGTGATCAAAGAGCCAGCCACTGAGTCCATGTCAGAGACAGTCCCTGTTCCCCTTAGTAGGGAACCCATTTGGATACTGAGCTGCCATGGGCTATATTGGTGCAGGGGTTCTAGGATCTCTCTCTCTCTCTCTCTCTCTCTCTCTCTCTCTCTCTCTCCTTCTCCCCCTCTTCCTTCCCCTTCCTCCCCCCCCCCCCCGTACTGGGGATCACTCTCTTCTTGTTGACTGCTGATCTGGATGTAGAACTCTTAGCTACCTCTCCAGCACCTAAACTGAGGACATAGATTTGATAGGATGTGTGTGAAAGGAACCTGGGAAGAGTTGGAAGAATGAAGGGTGGATATGATAAAAATGTATTATAGTCATGTATGAAAATCTCCAAGAATAAAATAAACAGTAAGCAACAGTCCAGTTAGGTGACATAAAGTGGTCAGGCTGACATCTAATGAATCAGCTGAACAAGGGGGAAGTTATTGGAGGTCCTGCAGCAAAGCAGCAATGAAAGGAAACTACTTTAGGAGTACTCATTTCAGAACTGCCTGTAGGACACACAGCAGGAACACAGACCAGAGATAAGGAAACAGCTTGCAGGGCCTGAGAGGAAAAAGAAAAATGTTTAGATGCAAGTGACTATAAAGGAAAAGGGTGGATTTAAGAGTCTGCTGGTTATCAAAAGCAGAGGAAAATGAAGGGTCTAAGGTATTTCTGAGATTGCACAGCTATGTTATCTTGGGAAAATAGTGTTCTTGTGCAGAAAATGAGAACAGGTGAGATGGACAGCTTGTCATGTCGCCCTGAGATTTTAAAGCACTGAACAAATGAGGTTGAAAAAAAACAGCACTACAAATAGATTAGAGACAAGGTAGTAGCTCACATCTTCAATGCCAGTACTTGCCCGGCAGAGGCAGGTGGATCTCTGAGTTTGAGGACAGCCTGGTCTACAAAGAAATTTCCAGGATAGCCAGGGCTACACAGAAGTGCTGTTTCAGGAAGGGAGGGAGGGATAGAGGTTATGAGCCTGTGGGAGTTCACTACTAAAAGAATACAAAATCAGATGAAGGGCACAGCTTGCCACTAGTCAGAAAAAGAAGCCCTCGGTGTTATTCCCACCAAGTAAGAGAGACCACTGTCCAAAATCTTTCAGTTTAATTAAGAAAGCTTTATTTTCTGTCACATAGGGTTGTCTGTCTCCCTAAAGTGGGGTTTGAAAGGACGGCAATAAGCACAGGAGAAAGTGGGGTTTATATAGCCCCAAAGCCAGAGGGTTTGCAAGGGGTGGAGGATTTTTGGTTATGCTGCAATTTGGTTTAACATCTCAGAATTATTTGGCATAACATCAGGGTGGAGATCAAGGGTTAGGAGGTGGAACATATTCAATTCCAGAAAATGGTTCAAGAAATGGTCAAAATTGAGTTTTTCAGAAAACAGTAATGAACTTATTTTGACCTTGTAATAAGATGGCTTCTAATCTTAGAATGGAGTCAGGCTGGTCCATCAGATGCTCTTAAGATACAATGTATGTAGAAAGAGAAAGCATCCTTGAGGAGTAATGGAGGAGAAGGGAAAATTCAAATGTCACAGAGGCCGAAGACCATGAAAAACAAGAACACATTGGATGGAACTAGAAGAGATGGCTTCCTTCAATGGTGCAGGAAGCAACTTCAGGGGCAACGGGCTTTGTCTTAGGTACTGCTCTGTGGCTGTGAAGAAGCACCACAGCCAGGACAACCTTGGAAATAAAGCAGTTAATTGGGGGCTTGCCTGGCTTCAGAGGCCTATAGTCCATGACCATGGTGGGGAGTGCGGTGGCAGTCACAGAACATCCAAGAATGGGTCTGGCCTGGACTGTTGAAGCCTCTGGGCCCAGCCCAAGGGACACATCTCCAGTAAGTCCATACCTCTTAATCCTTCCCACAGTTCCACTAAATGGAGACCAAGCTCTCAAAAATAGGAGCTTGTAGAGGCCATTCTCATCCAAACCACCAAACTTTAAGAAAGTAGGTATCAAGTAAAGGCCAAGAATGCAAGGAGCCATAAGTATGGTGGCAAAGTGAAGAAGGTTCAGGGGAGATTTTACAGAGAAGGGGATAATTATGAAAAGCATCTCATCTCACAGGGGACATAAATCCATACGAACAAGGCCCATCCCCAGCAGGGGAGGAAAACATCTTGAAAGAAACCCAGCTTCTTCTTCAGGGATCCCATCTCATGCCTGGCTTCCTGCTTTTACTCAGGACCTCATGCCTGTAGGATAAGTACTTATCTGTGGAGACAACACTTGCTACTTATTTTCAAGAACAAATCTTAATTATATGTGTAACTGAGTAGCAGCTTCTCCTGTCCCCTATGTTCCAAACTCTGTGCAAAACGTTCTAAAACATACCCTCTTGCCCTCTTTTTGGTTTGAGAGAGACAGGTCCTCACTCAAGTTCAGACTGGGCATGAACTAGTGACAATCCACTTGCATCCACCTTTTCCAGTTCTGTAATTATAGGCATGTGCCACTGATGACATCCTGTCTGTAAAAGACATTTGAAAATGACCTGGGGGGAAAGGAGTGCACTCTTGCTCTCTCTGATGTGGCATGTTATTCTATATTTTTGTGTGTGCTAGGAATTGAACTCAGGACCTCACACAAGCCATTGTCATTGAGCTAGATTCCCAGCCCTTTAATGGTCTTTTTGGGTTGCCTTAGAGAAATCAGAACTCTTTGGCTCTGTTGTTAAAGGCTGGACTCACAACCATTGGCTGCGGACACACACAGTGTGATGTAGCATGAGACTAGGCACTGTCACAATGAGAGAAATCCCTTGCTATGTAGTCTCTTTCACAGCCTTGAATCCATTTGTTGGAAGTAATGACAGTTGATTTGGGGAGAAAAATAGACCATTTGCCTATTATAAAAGTAACATATACATCTAGATTTCAGAGATTAGAATTAGGAAAGCGCTAGGGAACGTTGACTACATTTTTCTTTAACCCAAAAGAAAATTTTTAACACTACTGCTTTTTTGTTGTTTTTTACTCAGTTGGAAACCAAACCCAAGGCTTTGTTTCATCATGACCAAGTATTCAACAGCTGAGCTATATATACCTTCAGTCTCTATTTCCCTTCTAAGTTAGAAGTTTGAGGTGTTTTCTTAAGAAAATACCAATAAAGAATACAACACCTCCCCCCAAATTAAAAGTTAAAACATCAGTGGACTTGGGGAGGGGCATGAATGCAGAAAGGGGGGGAAGGGGGGACCGGGAGGGTAGGAGGAAGGGGCTTATGGGGGGATACAAAATGAATAAAGTGTAATTAATAAAAGTTAAAAAAAAGAAAATACCAATAAAGAATACAACACCTCCACCCAAATTAAAAGTTAAACCATGATAAACAAAAAACAAAACAAGCGCACACCTCCCAGAACCCTGGGCCCCCATTTACAACTGATGAACACACTTAGCTGCTTCTCTGCGCTGAGATAAACAACATGCCAAAGACAAAGGAAGATAGTTTAGGTGGTGCATATGTCCCAGCACTCAGGGAGGCAGAGGCAGACGGATCTCTGAGTTGAAGGCCAGCCTGGTTTACAAACTGAGTCCAGGACAGCCAAGGCTACACAGAGAAACCATGTATCAAAAAACCAAAGAAAGTTTATTCAGCTTACGGTTCCAGAGTGATACTAAATTAGGTAGAGGCATGGCAACAGAGTCAGTAAGCTTAGAGACTGCCTCTTGAGCTGTGAGCAGGAAGCAGAGAACCCTTCCTGAAACAGTGCAAAGTTTTAAATCCTCAAAGCCCACCTCCAGTGACATACTTTCTCCATATAGGCTTCATCTCCAAACCTTCCAACTGGCACCAAGCACTCAAATAAAGGAGCCTCTAGGGGGCACTGTCATACAAACTACCACACATACTTTCCTTCTAGAATTGTTATGAATAGCATAGTAATCCTGTTTGTAAACTAAAAGAACTCAGACATTTTAACATACATCACCTCATGGATTCCTACAACACTGTGAAGAAAAAAATATTATTAATCTTTTTTGTCCATGAGAACTGTGAAGTAACCTGGTTTGAGACCCATGAAGGGTCCTGGCTGGAAGGGACTGGCTGAAATTTCTTGTCTTTAGTGATGTGCACAACAGAAAGGAATCAGGAAAGACCTGGAAGGCAAAGCACACAGCCTCCATGCGTGCTTCCAGAATATTAATTATTTCTTTAAAGGCTCCATCGTTCCTCTCCCTTGATAAGCCTTTTAATGACAATTCTGGAAGATGAATACAGGGAAAAAAAAAAAACCTAGCAATCTAGAATGTACACGTAAGTTCTCTTGATATAGTTTTAAAACTTTACAATAAATGGTGTGTATGATCTTTCAGTCAGAATCAGTGTGATTCCTAAGAGTTAAGCACACCTGTACTTATTATTTACAATTTTTGTAAATGTTTTACTTGCTAACTTTGCTTTTTAACAAAGAAAACAAATATACAGCCCCATCACCTGATACTCACTTTCTTTTAAGCAGTGAAACAGACCAGACCAGTAAGGTTATTTTTTTTTTTTGGGGGGGGGGGGGGAATGAATGAACACACACACACACACACACAAATACATAAGTGAGAAGAACAAGCCAGTCACTAGGTAGCACTAAGTACGGTATCAGCACACTCTGGATGACATTCACAGAGAATGTTCTGGCTCAAAAGTCTTTAATTTAGTTAAAAATCTCTTCAAGACAGAGCAGAGTTTTACAAAGTTCCAGTATCCTATTATACAGTTACTAATTAGCCTTCATTCCTTATTTATATATTTTTTACATACAGGAAAGAAGGAAATTATTTGTGATACAACACTACACAATTAATCAAGGTTGACCAGCTGGGGTGGCCCAGGCAGCTGTAGACAAGAGACATCAGACAGGAAGACGCACAAAGCAGCATCATAGGTTGTTGCTTTCCAGGCTCTGCTTCTCCTCCTGCCCCACCTGTCCTAGGTGAGATAAAAGTTTGCTATAAGCTTCCCTGTTTAAGGAGAAAAGAAAAAGAAATTCACTTATGAAAGAATGCCTACCCATAACACAATGTACTCACAGCACCCTGCTTAAGGGTGGCTACAATAGGGACATGTCTTGACAACAACAATATACAACGTAAGTGTTGCTACCAGGACAAACTACTGCCAAAACACCACCACACGCCCTTTTTGTTCTTTACCTTCTCCTTACCACGAATAACAGTTTGAAAATAAAATGTTTCAAATATTCTGTAGTACTTCCTGGTATTTAAGATTTTACTTTATTTTTTTTTACCCATTACAGAAGGGAAAGGGTTTATATAGGTAGAGAGATACAGGCGAGCCATGCCGCCCCTGTGGCCTGGCTCCATGAGGGCAAGACTGGGGAGAAAGCTGACCAGATTTTATCGTTGGTTAACATAGCTCCCACCATCTGAGATGCTTTAGGAAGTATTCTCCTGGAATTTCTTTCACTAGTTTAAATACCTGTGGGATTCTGAATCTCTAAAACCAGTCCTTTTTGTGAACATACATGGCTACCAGGAGTGGCAAACTAGCAAACACTGCCCCAGTAGCCCAGTGGGCGGAGTTCACATGGGAAGTCTAGTCCTTTCATGAGAAGTACCCAGAAGATAGACGGCAGCAGTTTTTGCAACAGCCTGTTTTATGAGATGTAGTGGGTCCGTTTCTTTAAGGCTGTGATTTGAAAGAATCTAATCTTTTCTCTGCAGAAAACAGTCAGAGGCCAGCCAAGTTCCTCATAGAAGAGATGTAATACTGTGGCACAGAGATGCTCTGTCCGTGTAGCCTTGGGCATTCCTTTTCAAAGTTTTCATTGACTGTACTGCAAAGATGGACTCCACTAGTTTAGCTAAGGTCATACTCAATTTAGCCATGTCTTTAGGTGAACTAAGATTGGATACTACCCTAAAAACATTTCAACAAAATGGAATACATATCATCTGAGAGGAGGGAGCCACACCTGAGAAAATGCCTCTGGAAGATGCAGCTGCAGGCAAGCTCCTCGGGCATCTTCTGCATTAGTGACTGATTTGGGAGGGCACAGCCCAGTGTGGGTGGGGACAACTGTGGGCTGGTGGCCCTGGGTTCTATAAGAAAAGAGGCTAAGCAAGCCATGAGGGGCAAGACAGTTACTTAGTAGCACCCTTCATGGCCTCTATATCAACTCCTGCCTCTGGGTTCCTGCTCTGTGTGAGCCCCTGCCCTGACTTGGAAGAGTCAGCAAAATAAACCCTTTCATCCGTAAGTTGCTGTCGGTCAAACAGTATACACATGCAATGTGAACAAAGTCTCCATTCTATAACATAACTTAGGAATACTACTAATCTAACACTGTCAGTACTGACTCTTCTAAAATGGACTCTTCAGGAACTATAGCTTTATTCTTAGAATGATGCATATCTACACAGTCAGCACTAATTTTGGAAGGGTTATAAGCTTATAAACAAAACACAAGAGCCTAACTAGCTAATAACCAAACCCAGACTATCTGGGTCACTTGCCTTACTCATCAGATACACTGGACACAGCTGGTCAGTTATGACCTGTCAGTACGGGTTTTGTAAGACAAGTCACCTGAGGCTTTGAAATCCTCCTCTCCATAAGGACACTGCACTTTGAAAAGATAAGCACCACTGAGGTATGAAGCTTTGCGGCGGCCATGTCAGCAGGAACATGGAAGTGACGTCTACTCATGCAGGCATTACAAAACTGACCATCGCCACAGCATTAAATATTTTTCATCTCAAAAGAAAATATCCCATTTTCCTGAGTGGGCAATAAATGTTAATAAAAAGATAAAACATGATACTCAAAAGATTATGATTATCAAACATACCTTTGTGCAATATTTCTGCCAAGGCCCCATTTCAGCTCTGAATGCTTCAGAGACTGAGTGAGGGTAGGAATCAGTTGGATGACAATGTGCTGATTCAGTGCTGCTACTGTCTCTAGGATACTATATATGTGATAACTGTACTGCATACCATAGTCCTGGATGAACTGCCTGAAAATAAAACAATTTAGGAATCAATTTCTTGGGCCAATTACATACATTATAATCACTTTTGTTTTGTTTTTCAAGACAGGGTTTCTTTGTGTAGCCCTGGCTGGCTTTGAATTCACAGATCTGCTTCCCGAGTGCTGGGATTCCAGACGTGCACCACCACACCGGGCTTACTCATCACTTTTAACCACAACACAACAAGGACTGGTTGCTTCATCAAGACTGAAAGAATCTATGTGCAGACTACTGGTGCAACTTAACTTCCGAGATAGGGCAGTCTTATGTAGCCTGGCTGGACCTTGAACTCATTACCCCATTGCCTCAGTCATCTAGAATGCTGGGATTACAGGTTTGTTATCACCATTCCCAGCTTGGTTACACTTAGAAGGAAAATGATTTTAAGGAGAATCAGATGGGGAAAAAAATCTAACTCTAAGCGCTTTCACAAAATTCACCACTTCAAAACCGGGATAGGAGGAGTGAAAGGCAGTAAGCAAGATCAAGTTTCTTAGTCATATTTAAGTCTATCATATGTGTTAGTCAATACAGTTAGGAGGAAAGTATTCATAGGATATCCTTACATGTCTGAAATGAACAAGAAACCTTAGTCTTTATAAATACAAAAACATTTTATCTCTTAAATTTCCACATTCCAGACTTTGTAATAAAAGCTGTATAGCTTAATCAATTATATATAACAGAGATTAGACATTTCTTTCCTCCCACAGTTTTGGAATTTTCATGAATGTTCTCGCATATAATGATCATAATTGAAATAAACTGGAAACAGCATAAAAGCACCAATCATGTGGAGAGAGAGAAGAAACCAGGAACCAAATATGCAACACAGAATAAGAGAGACACACCTCAAATTACAGCTCATGTGGTGGCAAGGTAGAGATGTGTGCCAGAGTGTGTAAGAGCAAGCTAGCAGAGGCCTCAAGAAACAGCATGAACGCAAGGGCCTTTTAGAAGACCCCAAAAGGGCAAAGCTGGGCCACCGAGCATGCTCAGTGCGTCTTCTACCCCTATAGCGTCCATGTCCTAATTAAACCTGAGGAACTCTCTGAAGCTTCAGTGTGAAGCAAGTCAGAGGAACAGGCACGTAGACAGCATCTCCAGGAGCACCGTAAGCACACTCTGGAGGCCAATGCACCTGTTGTTGGAACTTACGCTTGCTATTCGCTTTTTCTTAACAACATTCCAGATTCTTTCTCACTGAAGACACAAGTAATTTCAAGTCAGTTAACTTACCCTTTTCCTTGGCACTTTTATTTTTCAATAAAGCAATACAATGTAACAAAACCACTTCCCCAAATACTGTAATTGAAACACTGTAAACAAGCAGTAACACATTATGTTTGGGTAATTAGTTATTTAAAAAGCATGTTGGCTGTCAAATGGCTGGCACCCTCTCCTTGCCAGTTGGCATGTTTTCCAGTTACCTAAACAGAGAAGTCAGCTGGGTGGCAGGCTCTCCTTCTGACCCCACTTGGCAGGTTTTTACCATGCGTTGTAGGTTCTCTGTGGCCAGCTTTGTAACTAGGAGAAAACGACAGGATTACACAGTATGTCTGAACTGACCATCTGGATCCTCATTTTTAACACTCTTCATTTAGAAAAATATGTTGTTTTCTTCAAGAATGTACTTGCTTTTTTTTTTTTTAAAGTTGTCAAAATGCAATAGTTATAAGTTTGTTTTGTTCTAAAGAATACCTAAAAAGTTTAAAAATCTATTTTGCATCTCAAGACTGAAATAATACATATGAAGATATGTTTTCCTTTCAGAAAGGTATCCATATTTAAAAATCCTTCCTAACCTGATCTTAGAAAGAGATACATACAGACAAAAGAAAGCCTTTTAAAAGACATGAATTTGCAGACAGGCATATTTTTATTTTTAACCTAACAGGGAAGTACCGTCCATGCTCTAAAAATCTTTAAGTAGTAGACTAGACCAACCAATAATATACTTTTGCTTAAAATTAGTCAACTATTTGTATTACTTATTTAACCAAATTATTTTAAAATGGTGCGCCTGTAATGCAGTGCAGAACTATTGCTGCAGTTTGGATTCTGACCGTGCCAGAGACTCATGTATTAAATACTGGGTTGCCTGCCCATGGTGCTCTGTAGCACAGTGTGCCTCTTCCTCCACTGCTGCAGGTGAGCAGTCTCTGCCTCCAGGTGTTCCCATCGTGATCATCTCATCGCCTCCCCTCAAACTTAATCTGGGAGGAGGCCAACTGACCCTGGACTGAAGCTTACAAAGAGGCAAGCCAAGCTTCCTGTACTTTACTGGTTAAGGCGATGTGAAGCTCACTAAAACAGACCTGAACAAAGTGTGTGGAAAACTTAGCATGTTCTTCTTTTATTTATTTTTCCCCTCCAAGATAGGGTTTGTCTGTGTAGCACTGGCTGTCCTGGAACTCATTCCACAGGCCAGGCTGGCCTTGATGTCACAGAGATCCACCTGACTCCTGAGTGCTGGGACTAAAGGTGTGCACTGCCACACAGACAAACGGAGCAGTAGAGAGGAGTATCGTGGGCCCGCACATGTTAATTAATGCTATAAAACCCTTGTTTGGGGCCCATTAAACATAAGTGTCTTCAAACTGAGTGATCATGTTTTAAACTAAAACCTCGATTGTCGCAGTTTACACGACTTGGAAGCAAATGCCTCACGTGCAGTGGGGTTTTTAGTACTGTCAGAACTGTGCAAGCATCACCAGAGTCAGGTTTATAGGGCTTCTGTTATCTTAAAAAGAAACACTACCCTACAGCTATCACCCACTCTCCCCTAGGTAAAGAGCTTATCTACTCTGTCTCTGAGGCATGCTTTCTCAGAGCCGGTGGACTCCAATGTGGATAAAGCTATTCAGCATGGCATTCAATTTAAAACTTATGAACTATTCCAGAATTTCCCATTTAGTGCTGCTGACCTGCTCCTGATAACGTGGAGGTGAAGCCACAGGAAACAAAACTGTGGCTACAGGACAAGTACTGCGCTGTGTGCCCTGAGTAAGCAAACCCTGATGAAGCGCAAGGCTTTCACCGCACGTCGACATGTTCAACAGCCGCGTCTCTAAAGGGCTCTAACTGCGGCCACAGACGGCAGGCCTTCCTGCCACGTGACGGGATGACATGGAAGCTGTTGTACTGGAGCCATTCACGCTTCCCTGACTCAGACTAACACACACACACACACAACACATACACGCACACAAGCTCGCACACACACCGACTGATATTTGACAAGTCTCATGTGATATCACAATGAGCCTGTACAAACATTTTATTTTGAGATGCTAAAAGCCTAATAAAAAAAAAAAATATCCCATAAACCACTTGCCTCAAGGAAGAGGGTGGAGGAAAACAACCCTAAACTTAAATATGCTGAAATGTGTCAGTATTTGACCATTTTTTCCACCTCACCCCAGCTATTGCTTAGTATTTGATTCTTTAGCCATGATACATCTCGGGAGATAGAAAATAACCCTGTACCTTTTACAGCTATCCATTTAATACATGGGAAAGAATAGTTGCTTAACTTGCACACAGATAATGCTAACAAAATCAAGACTGAGTCAACTAACCTTGGGGTTCATTGACTAACACCAAACATTTTATGATGCCAGGAAGGAGTAGTTCAAGGTCACAAATATCCATGTTGGTGTCCTTGAAGAGCTGGAGGATGAAGGCCAATGTGGATGCTAAGCGAGGAGGGGGTGAGGAACCTTTAAACTCAAGATAGGATTTCCTGAAAAGAAGCAAATTTTATTTTATTTTTCTTCTATTTAAATCTTCAATTGAGCAGAATCAAATGCCATGGATGTTAGAGACACTGGAAAAAATTTATTCCTTAAATAAAGGACGGTCTTAAAAACGAATGTATATTTTATAATGATAACCTTAAAGACCATTTTGGTGTACTGCGCACTCTGAAAGTTAGTACAGACAAAAACAAAATTTGAAGCAACTTGGTTTTACAATGAACTTACCAAACCTAATTGCTAACTTGTTTTCTTCCTTTCCCAGGATGTTTCATATCCCTTATCAGTTTTGCCAGGAATCAACAATTCTTCTAATGTCAAATGTGCATAAATAAATCTCCCCTCACATTTATTTATTTAGAACTTAGGAGGAGTCTTAAGTTTCTAAATAATTAAAAGGACTATCCTAGGAATTAGCTTCCAGTTCCAGCTTTATCTTTCTTCCAGTAGGAAATTTAGAGAACTAACTTCAGATTGAATATTATCTCTCAGGGCACAATAAATTGTAACATTAAAATTCAGAAGAAACTGTAAGGATAACAACCCCCTTGACTCATCTTCCCATTTAATTGCTTAGAACTGTTCCTGGTCACTGTTCAGAAAATGAATAAACATGAGAACTGTTGAGTTTCTTTAAAAAATATAGACTATGAAACCTGGTCAGACATGACTTAGGTCTCTGCCCTACTGTATTTTTATCTCGCTGGTACTGATGAACCTAGAACCCTGTACATGGTAGGCAAGCTTCCTACCACTCAGGTACATTCCCAGCCCGGGAGGAATACTACCAGTCTAAACTAGACAAAGCATGTATGTCTGAACACTGATGACACAGCTAAGAAGACTCTAACACTGTGGCGTATAAACAGACTCAAGGAGCTACACTTCACAACCAAGCTCGCTCCACACACAAAGTGACCCCACCAAGTTCACATCCTAGACAGAGCTACCAGCTGAGGCAGGGTCTGCTTTTGTTCTCCTGCACTGCTGAATTACTAATGCCCAAAATAAACAGTGGGTACCAGGGGCACATACAAAAGTAAGCACACACAGCTAAGTAAACAGACCAAGCCATAGACTTGTTTTCTAGTGGAGAAGTTAGATGTGGCCCATCCCCCAAGAAAAGGGCACTTTTAATATACGTGAGTGATGCTTTGACAAAGATAAGCATAGATTCATCAGGAGCTTTGAGAAAGAAGCCCCGACTCAAATGGATATTAGAAAAGCACTGAACGGAGGAGCTGTAGCAGTCTACCTCTATTTCGGCTAAATACTGAAAACAAAATCAAATACCCACTCACATTTCTAGTCAACTAGAACCTATCAAGGAAAGAAGAAAACCATCCTTAGCTAAACATGAAGTAGAACAGAAAGCTGAAAACACAGTTGGAATAGTAAACAAAGTTAGGGATTTGATTCACCTCCTAATTTGTCATGGAGTTTATATAAAAACCAGGCAATGTCTCAAACACCATAACAGATTGCTATAATCTTGCTGAAAACTGGGTCATACAGGACATGTGCTACCCTGTGACACTAGGTACAAGGTTTTTTACTGAGCCCAGAGGGAGGGCATTTTAAGAAGAAACAAAGCTTTAATGTAGAGAAGTATAGAGCATCTTGAACAGCAAAACAAACCATGGTCAGGAAGGTATGTGTAGGACAGGGACTATTATAGAAACAGTAAGGGACAAACTTTGGGTAGCTAGAATACACAGCATTACAGAGCGAAAAAGAGACAATGAAGGTTTGCGGACAGAGAAGAGTCAAAACTAACCTGGCTGGACTTGGTGAAGCAGACCTTTAATCCAGGGAGTTGGGAGGCAGAAACTAATGAATCTTCTCTGAGTTGCAGGCTAGGCAACGTGACACTGAGAACCCATGCTAAAAAAGGGGGTGGGGGCAAGCAAAGGGCATTCTTCTCAGAAGGAGGGACACTAGACAGTCAGGCCCACAGTACAAGGTGGTAAGAGAAAGGTGAGATGAACAAAGACTACGAAGCTTCCAGCCCAAGTAACATGACTCTAGGAATATAAAAGATGGAAATCCGTATTTACACGAGATCATTGGGAAGATCAAGTCAAGGCTGGAGAGATGGCTCAGTCAGTAAAGTATACACTGGCGGTATAATCATAACGGCCTGAGTTCAATTCTGCAAACATACATAAAAACCTAAAAAAGACTGTTTGTACTTGTACTCTCAACACCACAGAGAGCAAGGCTGCCTTCTGTGGAATCTAAGCCAGTGGGACACTGTGTCTCAAAAACAAAGAAGATGACACCAAAAGAATGACCTTGGAGGTTGTCCTCTGGCCTTCCCATGATGGGGAGTACCACCCCACACCCCCTACTTAGAAATAGAAAGAGAGAACAAAATGACAGCATTTAAACACAGAAACTTATTAATACTAGATACCAATAATCTATATTACCGTAGAATCTCAAAAGCTTAAAAAATAGTATCATAATGTTAATACTGCATGAAGACAAAGTGAAGATAATTTCTATTACTGAACCTTCTAATGTTATGATTAAAGGACATAGAAGTTAGCTGAAAAACAAAAAAAGTAACAAAGAAACAAGCATGAAGAAACAACCCTAAGAAGTTAGGGTTGAGAGATGGCTCAGAAGGTAAAGAGCACCTATTGCTGTTTCAAGGAGTCTGGCTCTGTGCCCATGTAAGAGCTCACAACCACTCAGATCCCGTTCGAGGGGATCTGATGCCTTCGTTTAGCTTCTACAGGCACCAGGTATGCGCGTGCTGCAATTCCATACATGCAGGCAAGACACTCACACATATACGTGATATAAAATTAACAAACCTTAACAAATGTACTTAAAAACGAGTTAAAGGTGGGGGACTAAACATTTTTAAACTACCCCTACCCCTGCATTAGTTCAACTGGAAGGACACCCACTTCTACGTGTCCTACACCTGAGTCAAGTTTGATGGCATTCTACCTTTCTCATCCCTTCAAGGATCCAAAATCAAGAAAACATATCCCCCAATAGTGTGCATATTCTAAAAATATTCTTCCCACACCTCCTTGGTAGAAGCTACCTTTATTCGCTGCACAACTGAAGTTATGCTATCTAGTAAATATGACAACTCCTGGGGCTGGAGAGATGGCGCAGAGGTTAAGAGCACTGGCTGTTCTTCTAAAGGTCCTGAGTTCAATTCCCAGTAAGCACGTGGTGGCCCATAACCATCTGTTGCCCTCTTTTTGCCTGCAGTCACACATGCAGGCAGAATGCTATGTAAATAATAATAATAATAAAAATATGACAACTCCTTTCTTTGAATGCAGGTCCGCTAAAATAACTCAAAATGACCTGACTTATGTTTATCTTCCATTTCAGCAAAATCCTCATGATTTCCTCAGAACAGTCACTTCTAATGCAGAGTCTGTCTTTCTACAACACCTTTGGTTACAGTTGGAAACCCCATGATGCACCAGCAGGTCACTGAGCATAAGAGTGAGAGAGATGGGCTTCTGTCGTAACTACCAAGAAGAGTCCGTGTAGTTGTCGCTGTTCAACGCTGAGCAGTTGGAGAACACTGGGTAGCAGTGAACTCTCAAATCAATGTGCTCCTTTTCACTATTTGTGATACAAAACAAGGTCTGATGGCCTGACGCCCCCATGTAGGGGACACATGTATTCTACAAGCGACAGTATAGAGGAAGGCCTAGTATACGAGGCAAAAATCATGACTAAAACATTTATCTGTTGAAACCCCCAAAGTGGAAGATATCCCACACAACCAGCCTTAGAGGCACTCGAGACATACATGAAGAATGGTAATGATCAGGACGCAGGTTAGCCTGTTGCTGTTAGGTTGGCCTTCCTGTGGTTGAATGAGTGAGAAATGACAGCGAGGGCCACGGTGGGCTTCTGCTGTCCCATCTCCACATTCTTTGGGAGCTCACTGTGTCAACATTACCATTCCTACAGAGAACCAGCTTTCAGGGCTCAAGGGAGAGTTGGCCTGTCATCTGAGTTGGTAGAGCCACACTTGACAGCAGGTATTTTACAGAAATTGTAAATACAACCCAAGAAATAAAAGAATTTAGACGAATAGTATAATAACAACACAAGACTTCATATTGCTTATCAGCATTCCTATTTTCAGTTACCTTTCATAAAGTAACTGCTACATACTATACAGTACAAAACACAATTTCTATTGTGATGAAAACCATAAAAGTACATCTTTTTTAAAGTAACTTTTTTCTTTTTCTTTTTTTAATTTTTACTTTATCTCATGTGCATTGGTGTTTTACCTGCATGTATGTCTGTGTGAGTATGTAACGTCCCCTGGAACAGTAGTTACAAACAGCTGTGAGCTGCCATGTGAGTGCTGGAAACTGAACCCCAGTCCTTTGAAAGAGCAGCCAGTGCTCTTAACCACTGAGCCATCTCTCCAGGCCATAAAGATGTATTTTTACGAGTGTATATAAGGAAAGTAAGATATATAATAAAAACTGGCATGTCGGGAGCCGTGACTCCAGTGGCTTGCTTTGATATTTAAATCTCGGTGGAGAGATGGCTTTTAGCAGGCCTTTACTAATGGCAGAGAACTTGCAAGTCCATCTCCTTTTGTTTGTGACAGCAGGTGGGATAGCTTGTGAGGATCACACCTCTTCCTCAGGATCCTTGTGCAAATTAAACCATTGTTCTGATATGTTTCTACTCTGGCTTAGAAACTCACAATAAAAAGACAGGCCAACGGGTTACTGCAGAAGAAGGCCAAGTCTTGTGTAAACAGGAGTCAAATAAGCAACTAGATACAATGTTGTGCTATGGGAGGAGCCAGAGGACAGGAAAGAGGGGAGGAGCTAGAGAACAGGAAGGGGCGAGAAGGAGGAGGAACTCCAGGAGAAAGCACGAGGAGGGCAGAGCTGGAGGAGAGAGCTTGGAGGACGTGGAGCATGAACCAGACCTAAGATTTCACAAAAAGCAAGTATAATGTGGGAAATCTAAATGTTAGGAAACAGAGGGCTGGAGGCAGAGACTTGAGACTTGCTGCTTGCACTGCTTGCTGCAGCAGCCTGCCTTTTGCTGTGGCTGTCGAGTCTGGACCTTTAAAAAAGTTTCCTGTGTGCTGTGTGTTTATTTAAATAATATTAATCCTCACTCCCGACTCAAGAACCGTTCAACTCTGCTGGCTGGCTCCGGCACTGGCACGATTTTTAAAGCAATTATAATTTTAACAAATTTTTGAAAACACTTTGGTATAGTCTTCAACTATGTAGCTGTCACAATGACCAACAGTCACTCTCCTGTCATTCATCCCAGAGAAATGATAGTGTAGGTTCACATAAAGACTTTATATAAATACTTGTTATGTTAATATTATAGGAATGTTATTCCTAGAAGGAATAAGATAATAAAATTAGGAAAAGAGAAAGAGGTCTCTTCAGTAGAAAAATGAACAAATAGTTATTATAGCCATGCTGTAGAAGACTACTAGACAGTAATAAGAAACACACATTTAAATATATCTTTATTAAAATTAAGATATCATTACATTTTCTTCTTTTCCAATGCAACAAATTCTTAATGTTTCCTGGGAAAAACTGTTTCTAAACTACCACAATACTAAGCCACATTAATATTTCTGAGACATTCCAAATTATTTTTTGATGATATAAAAACTTCTACATGTGCCTCTTTGTACTAACTATATGTACCTTATGGCGTGGACAATGTGCTTTCTGAGAGGCATCATTGATGGAACAGAGGCAGGGCTTCTCAGTGCAAACAGAACAGGGTGCTGTCCAAGATCCGAAACACAGGGTGAGGCCGGGAGAAACCGCCCGATATACTGCTCGACGACATTACCCAGCAACTGATTCAAGTAGGCACTTGGACTTTGAGACTGGCAGCACACAATACATATACCCTATAGAAGGAAAAATACGAGAAATGCGAAGTGGAAAAGGCAAAATGTCTAATAGTGTTTAGGAACTTACTAATATGTTCTTTAGCACTAATGTTCACAGTATAAATTGTACCTTCTCACTGTCAAATAGGATATCAAGAACAGGTAAGATACACATGGATGGCCCTTCTTGAGCTGACTCTGGGTAACACACATGGCTGTGGACCATGCATTTCAGGGACACGATCAAAGGAAGTAAGGTAAACATTCAGGATCAGAAAGGCAATGTTTCTGCCACTCTTCCTCCTGCACAGAACACCTGACTACCATGATCACCAACTACATTATGTCATTACTGAAATACATGTGTCATCAGCCTTTTTTACAGTATTTAAATCAAAGTTCAATTTATCATCAAACAGAAAGATAACACAGTAAAGGCCCAACCCACAGAGCTTGGCCTGTCAATCCCAGAGGCCCAGACAGGTGGAAGGGAGTTATTGCTCAGTCATTTTGGCTAAAAAAATGACATTTATGCTAAAAAATTGGTCATGTAATGAAATCATTTTTAACAACTCATAATGGAAGAAGGAATGCAGGTTTGGACTGAGAACAGACATCTCCTTAGAAGTTTTTCTATGTGATATTGTGCCAAATGCTTTATATTTATTAGTTCATTTCATTTCTAGAACAAAGGAGTTAATACTACATTTCCATACTACAGTCAAGAAAACTGAGGTTCAGAGAAATTAAGAGCTTAATAAAAGTCACAAGAACTCATAGTATCTTGCTGCATGTGTGTTGATATAATCCCTTCCACATCATGAAAGTTAGCAAAATACTCTCGTAATACTTAGAAATGATTAAACCCATTCCCTCAGAAATACTTTTCTTTATGTTTGTTAGGATTTGATTGTAGCCATAATTGAATGCTTATCCAGTAATAAACTCTCAACTTTCATTTGTAGTAAAAAATAGTGTAGAACTGTTAAAATACTGGCAAGAACACAACTAAAATGAATAACAGTGAGCCCACTCACTCAGTTTCTTAAGGGCTTTGATTAAGGAACAGGTACAGGGAGAAGATGGTGGAAGACAGATCCAGAGAACAGAACACTTTTAAAAATTAAAGATGCAGTTCTGTCAGTTCAGTCAAGGGGATAATTCAACAAAAGTGTCACCTTATTACTTAAGAAACTTTTTCAAGGACCACACAGAACAAGCACCCAGACTTTCCTGGTACTCACATCGTTCCATGTATCTATCTGTTCTTTCATGTAACTGACTGCCAGACCACGCGCTGCTTCTACTGTTTGTCCTTTTGCTTCATGACACACTAAACTTTAACTTAAATACCAACACAAACATATAACTAGAGTCAGCTTAAAACTTCTCAGAAATCTCAAAACAAAATAAAAAAGCCCACCATGGAAGGAAGAGACTGCATGTTAAAATCAAAATCTGCAATCAAAATCTGCTCCCTTTCACCTTGGCTTCTCTGGGGACCCTCAAATTTAGAAAGCTCTAACTCAGTATCACACACTAATGAAATAGATCGATATCTCAGACCACCCATGGGACATCACTGCTTACACATTCCATAGACTTTAAATAAAGCCACTAGAAGGCAGCCTTTTCTCTATGTACTCCAGCCTGGCCGAGAACTCCTAGGCCCTGACATTACCAGTACATGCCACCATGTCTAATGTAAAACAAAACCAGAGATCCCAGTTATCTGCATGGCTGCTTCTCCAGAATTCCCCAGTTCAGTTACCAGCACCACTTTCTAGACTCTACCAGTCTAGTCTAGGAGACATTCGTCTCTGTTTCTCCATTTAGCATGTTTTTAAAAAGAAATTTCAGATTGACTTTTATTATTCTATGTGTATGAATGTTTTGTCTTCATGTGTGTCTGCACCATACATGCTGGGGCTTGAGGAGGGGTGAGCACCGATGTGGGTGCCAGGAATCAAACCGAGGTCCTTTGCAACAATAAGAAGTGCTCTTAAAGACGGAGCCAGCCCTTGGCGTGTATTCTTTAGTTAGAGCTCAGTTTCCAACATCTACATAGGTTCTAATCTCAATGCCTCAGTTTAAACCTTCTAGTATTTCAACAGTGTTTCAATTACCTAGTAACAACTTCCTGGGTCTTATATCTTACTCCCTCACCAGAATCACTTTTCTCAAATACAAGCAGAACTTCTTTGCTCAAAAATATACCAACATTTCCTACGTATGAGATAAAGTCCAAACTTTTGGCATTGAATATAAAGCCTTCCATCAGGTCTCTTCCTATATGAATTTCCAGCAACAAAAAGAACTATTTTCCTTTCCCCAGTATGCTGTATTTTTCTTAGTCTTGCCCTTGTCTAGGTTACTACACTGGCTGGTTTTATGTGGCAACTTGACACAACATAGAGTCACCAGAGAGGAAGGTGCCGAGTGGAGGAAATGCCTCCACAAGATCCAGATGTAGGCAAGCCTGTAAGGAATTTTCTTAATCAGTGATTGATGGGGGAAGGACACAGCCCATTTTGGGTGGTTCCATTCCTGGGAATGGTAGTCCTGGGTTCTATAAGAAAGCAGGCTGAGCAAGCCATGTCAGGCAAGCCATGGCTTTTGTATCAGCTCCTGCATGCGGGATCCTGCTCTGTTTGAGTTCCTGTCGGGACTTCTTTTGGTGATGAACAGTGGTATGGAAATATAAGACAAAATAAACCCTAGCTATTGTCATGGTGTTTCGTTACAGCAATGGAAACCCTAAGACAAGTTGGTACCAGAATTGTGGGCCAATGCTGTGACAGACATGATAGTGTTTGGTTTTTTTGTTTGTTTGTTTTGTTTTTGGAGGGTGGATTATAGGACTTTGGAACATCGGCCTAGAAAAACCAATGAGTACTGAGAGCGCACTGCGCAGTTCTTTAGAAGCTTGGAAGGTAAAAATGTTGAGAGCAGTGCAGCAGATGGAGGCCTGGCTTGTGAAGTTTCAGAGGGAAATTTAAAGAGTCTATCAGGACCATCTGCTATTTTGAATTAAGATTCTGGACAGTTGGGGTTGAAGAGTCAGCTATGGTTAACAAGAGACTAGCAACACTGTAATGAAACTTTGTATTTTTGCAATAATTGATGCCAGTCAGCTGAAGCTATTAGGAAAGTAGTAGCGACTAAAAAGAGACCATCATCACTCAGGTGAAATCTTCTGGGAACTGGTTCCTGAGAGCACAGACAAGCTCTCTTCCAGAAGCAGTCAAGGTTGTATACCTCGTGTTGGCAGCAAAGTTGGTAATGAGAGAGTCACCCACCCAGGTGGTACTGGTTTTGAAAGCATGAAGGGTTCATGGAGAGCAGCTGAAGCTTGGCACCGTGAGCAACCAAGAAAAGTCACCAGTGAAGGTTCAAGCTCAGTGGCAACTGAAGACTCAGGACTGAAGGAGTCATGTAGAGAAGTTGAGGCTTGGTACCATGAAGAGAGCCTATGAGAGGCTACTAGTCAAGGTGCAGCCAAGTCGCGGCAGAAGACCTCACCGTTTTGGAGATGCTAGTTCCATAGGATAACCAACAAGAACAACAGCAGCAGTGGAGTGGAGGCAGCCAGAGCCGAGAAAACAAGCAGCAGAGTTAAAAGGGTGGAGTACAGATCTGGGGAGAGCAAGGGCAAGAGGACAGAAGCCCTGTAGAGAAAACTGAGGGTGGGGACATCTCTGTGACAAGCTGGAGATCTAAGTCAGGAGAGGCCTCCTGAGAGGATAGGAGGGGGATTCGAGCAAAGGCTCCTAGTAGCAGAGACTAGAGAAACTAAAGAGGATATCCTCTAACTAGTCTCTAGTAAAGGGCAGGGAACACCAACTCACTCACAAAAACTTCGTTCCTTGCCTTCTTTCCCACCTCAGGCTTCTTAAAAATTTGCCTCTTTCACCTTAGTTTTCAAAGACAAATCGATAAGACATTTAAAGCTTTTTTAAAGGATGTGCCACGTGTAAATATCTGTTTTGGGGATTACAATGTCTGGCCTTTAAACCTGTACTTCCAATAAAAAAGCTTTGAAGCAGCTTCCACACTGGGCATACCTGGAGATACAGAGGAAGACTCTTCTGAATTGCAGTCAGCATGGGTGCAGGCAACTCCTTGTCTTGCCGCAACACCGTGTGCGGCAGCAGTAAACAATCGATTATCCGAAACAGTAACTTCTGTGCTTTAGAGGTGGCAAAGATTTGTGCCCATGATTTAACAAGAATTCCTAATAAAGAAGAGAAGGAGCTTTCGTTACAACTATCTCCTAAACAGAACATTTTCTTACTCTATGTAGAAAATTTATTTTATCACAGAAACAAGTTAAAAACAGACAGCAGGAAGAAACATGTAAGTCTTACCTTAAGGCACTCGTTTCACTCTTTGTTAAAAGAGGACAACTGAAATGGCAAAGACTAAGCCTACTTGGAATGTAGCAAAGGTGGGGACTACAGGGTTGGGCACTGAGGTCATTGGCAAAATTTCAACTAAGAAAAAGGGGGAAAGAATGAACAAAGACACAGGGACAGTAAAATGCAGGGCATGGAAACAGAAAAATATGACATTTAAAAAAATGACAAAACTAAATCAAACGCAAAGGAAGTTTCCCCAGTCTACCCCCACCCTCAGAGAGACACCATGAGGGGAGTTGGAGTCTACTGATGTAGCAACTCCTCTTTTTCAGAGATTACTCAACTATTACTGGATTCCAGATACTGTCCTTGACCACAAGTGGCCCTGTAAAGAAACTGCAGAGGTGTTCTGAGTTAGGGACCAGCAAGCTAACAAGCCACAGAGTTTCAGTGGCTCTACCCCTTCTGATGCTTATGATATCCCAATTTTAACACATTGAGTCAGGTTCAAATTCTCAAGCCTTTATGCTTGCTCTTTCTCCATTCTGTTTTAAGTGTTTTATGTAAAGAAAACAGCAAGCTCCTTATTCTAATTTCTAATGAACAAACGAGTAATTATTAGCCATATAATCCATGCCTACCATTTGAGACTTAGACAAATGGAAAGAATCAAGACCTACCTGTTTGTAAAAACAGCTCAAGGCAAAACACCAAAAAAAAAAAGCCCTCAATTTTTCATAAGCAAAATATTGCCCGTAGCCCAAACATCATCAATCCCACCCAGGATTCCGTGATTCTTGACACAGCTACCGTGTAGTCTGTAATGTAAAGAAACACTCTATAATCATCCACTTACCTTGGCAAAACTAAATCTGGAAATGTCAGGAAACTATCTTGAGACTGATAAATCATAAGCTTGAGTTGCTAAAATAATAATGTAGAGCTTACTGTTGAATTGATAATACATCTATCTCCACTAATTTTTTTCCCTAAAATTAAGTAATCTAAATTGCAAGCACTGCTTTCAGTACCTTCTACATTATCCACATTTCCACATTCTCCTTTATCTTTCACAACAAAGATAAAAGATTTCAGACAGCCCAAATAAGGTTTATTTATACATTCACAAGATTAAAGGGAATAGATACAAGGTTTTGGCCACAGAGAAATAAAAAAATCCCAAACTGAAACTCTATATAAAACTTCTAAGGAAATGTTTCTCATTTCTTCTTATTCAGTTCCTATTTTTGGTTAGGAACATGGTTTTAGTCAACAAAGACATTCAAATTACAGACTTCCCAAAGAAACATGAGCCTCATCATTATAGACAAGCACACAAAGATTTTCTGAAAAAAGAGTAAGTTTGTGAGGGGTAAGATTTGAAGCATCATCCCTGGTATTCTACTAAGTCCTCTTGGGACTTCCTTCATGTAGAGAAGACCACAAACAAAGGAGGACAGTGATGGCTTTCTGGCATTTTAACTTCTAGCCAAGTGTAGAAGTTAAACATTAACAAAAAGCTCACTTTAGTGGTTTGGGTATTCACAATGTGACTAAAATGGACTATCTGCAGCAGTGAGCTTGGACATATATTGTTATGATCATAATTAATATCAATTTCAACAAAAGCACAGCAAATAATGAAGGCCAGCATGAATAATTTTAAGCAAACCACTGTATTTCATGTTTCTTACATTTACACATACAGTTAAGTAATATGGCCTATATATTTCTTTCCACTTGGATCTGGTTGGCTTGAGTTAAGAAAATGTTTGTAAAAAAATATATATATATATATATCAGAAATACATACCCATTATCTCATAAGTCAGCTGCAGGCCTGCACTGGAAATTTTTTTCCCCAAATAAGGCTTTACATATTTCAAAACTTCACCAAGATATTCTAAAGCCTTTGTGACCATGGCAGATTTATCAGAAAATGTCTGGATAGTCCCATAAGCTACACCAACAGCCTATAAAGAAAAACATAATTTAACATTCCACGTCTTATAAAATACAGACCTTGAAAACTAATTTTTCCTTCTTTCTCACTGCATGCATAACATATACTTAGACCTTCATTCTTAAATTTCCAATGAAGATTCACAGCAATTAAAACTTACGTGAAGGCAAGGCGGTGGTGGTACATACTTTTAACCCCCGCACTCAAGATGCAGAGGCAGGGGAATCTCTGAATTTAAGGCCACCCTGGTCTACAGACTGAATTTCAGGATAGCTAGGGCTACACTGGGAAATCCTGTCTTAGAAAACAAAATACAAACCAAAACAAAAGCAAAAACCTTATGTACCTTTTATAATTAATGGTCAAAGGAAGAATTAAAAAAAAATCAATTCATCAGTATTATTTACAGAACATCTGATCCAGTAAATCCATTAGAGAGAAGAAACATCAAACCCTTATTCAAGAAGCTTGCAATCAGCTTCAGCTTTCTACATGGGCTGGATTATAATTCGTATGACTAGAAATCTACAAATTCCTGCAGGAAACAGTGGCAAGTAGCATTACCAAATTCTTACAAGTAAAATGTCTTAATTCAGCTCTTTGATATGAACTCATGTCTCTCCACAATTTACAACTTAAAGAATATTTTTTAATGAGGCATCAGCTAGCTGGCTTAATGTTCTCAGTGGAGGGGGCAGAAAAATGTGGCTGAGAGGCCAAAGACGAGACAATGAAACAAATGCCAACAGAAATGTGAGATGAACCAGGAAGAAGAGAAAAGGAAGAGAGAGAGAGAGAGAGAGAATAAAGCCAAGTAAACTTGTAAGGAATGTGGGGATAATCAGGTTTTAAGAAGCCATCAAAGAATCAAGAGCTAACTATAATGATAGGTTAGAAAGTTTAAGGGAAGTTTCCAAATCACTCTGGGAACTCACAAAGGATTTCAATGGGACCACAGTTTGAGCTACACTGGAACCATAAACGGGACCATAGTTAAACAATCCACCTCTTACCAGCTCCCAGTAGATAAATCAGAGGGCAAAGGCAAAGGGGCTGTGTTGTCTCAAGGTTGGGGCTGTAGAGGTGTGAGCAAACGATAAAAGACCACAGGTTCTGAGAGCACTGCGAAGAATAGCTGACATTAAGTTCCAAGATGTCTGATTAAGGTGGAGAAGAGAGGAAGCACAGCCTTCAGAGGCTAAACAGAAGTAGGTCATGTAGAGCGAGAAAAGGAAAGAAGCCACTGAAGTGGGCAAAGGAGAAAAGAGATACTGTATTAATTAACCTTTTCTATTTAGCTTCTGTTGTTTAAACATTTCATCCTTCAGAAGTTCTCAAACTCTTAACCTTGGTTTCCTTGTACACATACTAGGCATGGATACCTCGAAAACCTTTTATTGCATGTCATATGTGAGAAGTGTAGGTTCCTAATTACAGCATGCAAGGAGAAAAGGGAAGGGTTAGTGGGGGCGTAGCAGAGGGCACAGTGACTGAAGAAAATCCAGCCTCACAAAGTCATATAGCTGGAACAAGTATTCTGAGAACTGTTTCAAATAACTGGGAAGCTCTCCTTCTTATTACACCAAAATGTTCAAGTGATATTTTTTAGAGGCTAACAGTACTACCCTGGACACTCTCACGGACTCTAAAACCACATTAATAAAACAGGATTCAGTAAGTCTAAATGAATCATTTACCCATGAATACTTGCTAAAATGCAACTGGAAATTTGGCAAGTTAATGAGGGATACTGCTTCCCAATGTTGACATTTCCATCCTAGGGAAAAAAAAAAATGACACACACTGATCCTGTCCCATTCCCACAGAAGTCTTTAAATATCAGGAAGCTATAGCTCCAGAAGGTTCATGTAAATTTCCCAAACTTTAATTCTCTTGAAAACCTGAACTGCATTATTAGCAACAGATACTGTCAGTTGTTTTCTTTGAAGTGATAGGCTTACTTACTTCATTCATTTCTGAAAAAAAAAAAAAAAAGAAAAAAAAAGAAATGTCTGCCAAATGTCCAAGTCTGAATAATCACATTTTGTCAGTTTTTCTTTCAAGATAAAAGCAGTCGGCTCAGCTTGCGACTCAAGTGTTCACAGGCTCTTTCTTTAGACAATGCACTGAAACCCTTCACTTGCACTCTGCATTTTCATTTGGAGAATGAGCTAACGGGGTGAAATTTGATGAGATTTTAAATCTTACTCCCTAATTAATGCTCTTCTTTAATGAACAAGCTTTACTTTTTTGTGAGTGCATAAAAGTATAAATCCTAGTGGATACTATTATAATCTGAGGCCACAGTGCTGTTTCACACTAACACTTTCACAGAATCTGTGTTCATGTCAGTACAGAGTTGGGACAGAGAACATTGTAAGAAGGTATCAGTAACTTGCAGGAATCTATAGACCATACTTGAATATTAATGACCATGGTACTGCAGTAAATATGTTAACTTTAATTTCCCCTCAGACTAAAAAATATGTATTTCCACATTTTCAAATATATAAAACATACATATTTGAAGTATATATATGTAGTTTGAAAACAAACAACAAACAAAAAGCGGGGCCATTAGCCTCCTAGGGAGGAGGCACTTAGAGAGGTGGGTTTGCTGTAGACGGTGTGGCTTCGTTGGAGGTGCATCATCAAAGAGCGGGCATTTAGGTCTCAGAAGTTCAAGCTAAGGCTTAGTGGCTCACAGTCCTTCTGCTGCCTGAGGATCTCTACTACCATGTCTGCCTGTGTGCCACCATGCTTCACCATGGTGATAATAAACTAAATTTCTGAAACTGTAAGGCAGCCCCAATTATATGTTTCTCTTTATAGCAGCTGTCTGATCATGGTGTGGTCACAGCAATAAAAACCCTACCTTTGAGAGATGGCTCAAAGACTAAGAGCACTGTCTGCTCTTCCAGAGGTCCTGAGTTCAATTCCCAGCAACTACATGGTGGCTCACACCATCTATAATGAAATCTCATGCCCTCTTTTGGCCTGCACGTGTACATGCACTCAGAACATTGTATACATAATAAATAAATCTTAAAAAAAAAAGGAAACCCTAACTAAGGCAATATACATTATGTTTACCATATTATATGTGGAATAGGAGTAATATACATAATGTATATATACATGTTCCCGCGCGCGCACACGCAGAGACACACACTACACAAACATTGTTTAATGTGTGCAGTGCCCACAGAAGCCAAGAGGACACTCAATACCCCAGAACTATAGTCAACTGGTTGTCAGCTGCCTTGTGGGTGTTTGGAATTAAAGCTGGGTCCTCGATAAGATCAAGCAGTGCTCTTATTAGATGAACCATCTCCCCAGCCCCACGATGTGCTTCTGGGTGCTTAGATGATGGCTACTCACATACCACAATACTATTATTTCCAAGCAGAAAAGCACATTAAGCCCAACATTGGTACTTTACAAAAAAGCCCACTTCTAAGAATGGGTCTTAGCGGGTGTTTGGGACTATTCAAGTTTTGAAGGACCTCTCACTGAGATTATCTTATGAGAATGGCCCATAATATATTACACAGTAATACAATGCAAAGGTACACAAAACATAATACAATGACCATGCAATCTGTAGGTTTTATAGTGGATATTCCATGTGATTAGCCATGGACTCTGAGTGCTAAAGAGTTTCTCTGATCAACAGAATCTGAAATTTTGCCAAAAATTATTGCTTCAGAATTAACTATGTCCCGTATAACTTCAATGGGAAAAGATTCATAGAAGCTTATTTATTTATTTGTGTGTGTGTGTGTGTGTGTGTGTGTGTGTGTGTATCCCCAGATTTTACCCCGTATACCTTTCTTGTGTATTCTGTGTTTTTTCAGTGACTGGATGTTGAGTCCCATGAGAACGAGAAGACATCTGAAACTTTCCCTATAGATTCCCCTATAGAATAATGTTCTCAGCTTTCAACTCCTCCTCAACTTGCACCATAATTTACATCACCTTTACTAATTTTCACAAAAAGGCATCTAGTCAAATCAGACTCACTTAAAAAAACTTTATGCTCACCACAGGATAAGTTCTAAATGTGTTACACCAAGACACCCTGATTTTCTCCTACTGATGAATCTACTGACGATTAACACGTTCATTATTTTAACCTTTTTGTATCTAAAATTCTCAAACCAGTAAAGCTCCTCTTAGATCAAAGACCAGGTTTTTCAAATATCTAAGGAGTCGTAGATAATGCTATCTAGCACTTTGCAAAAACCTATCATTGATTTATTGATAAAAAGAAAAAATATTTTAGGTTGGATTAAATTAGAGGAGACTTAACTGCTAGTGTAAAGCCTATTTTCTACCTCCTTTTCTGACCCAAAATCATCGGTCAAGACTCACTGAGGAGCTACAAAACATACTACAAAAATGTGCATGTCACATTTGCATGTTGCCATGCTACTGTTGGCTATCATTAGGGTTTACACACATCTCCAACTGTCTGTGAATATACATTTTCACGTAGTTAACGTCAACATGCTGGAAAGCAAATCCACTTTTACTGTGAATAACTTACAAAAGACATAATCCAAACATCAGTTTCACTTAGGCTCATGAAATAAAACACCATCACATGCTATATTTCTTTGAAATTAATGACAAAAACTAAAATTTTAAATGTATTTTGAAGTAAAATAAAAAGAAATGGATTATATTTTCAAGTTCTGCTGCTACATACCAGCTGGTGCTTACCCTGACACCACCAATGAGGGGCAGTAGAATCACAGCTGGAGCACTGCCAACCCCACACTAAAGCAATGCTGGTATCTGAACTGTTACCAAGATCAACCACAACACATTATTTTATTTCAGTTGGCCCTGAAGCAAAGCTTCCGCATATTCTTCCTTACTTTCCTTATTCATTAAGTGCAAATTTCCTGCTGTCTGTAGAGTGAATCATACTGTACCTTAGAGCAACACTTCCTTTACTCCTTTACTTCCTTTACTGTATAATAGCAGGCAACTAATAATATGACCGAGTTAAGTTAAAAAAATTGATTTTACAGAAAAAAATTTTAATGACACTTCAAGATTTTCTGAATAAAATAATTGTAACCAGTTTAGAAGATTATACTAATAAATGAAAAATACCTCAAGGAATTGAATAAGTGCTTGTTTGGGGTCTCCTGGACTGGGCAAATATTCAATCTGAGCCTTTGAGAAGATATTCTTTACTTCTGAGAGTTTAAACAGTAATCTTGTCATTTCAGCCAGCTGTTCCATGTACTCTTTTTCTATCAAAATAAGATAATGATCATGCTTATTATGTGAAATTTAAAATCTTATATAGGTTGTGAACACATATATATGCTGGGAATACACCATTCATTTTTGAAATATGTTACAAAAACTCAATTTTTCACAAAGTTAAAAACTGAATCAGGGTTTTCACACTTACAATAATCCTAACCCATAAAGTTACTGAGGTCAAAAAACTACACTAGATAAGAGAAAAAGTCCAGCCTTTTCCAGGCCAGCCTAAGATAAATTTACAAAAGACTAAAAATGACAGCTTTAAAAAAAGTGTTCCCATACAAAACAAAACTGTATGGGAACTCTGAAACATACAAAATACTATCAGTGTATAACGGTAAAACAGAAGAGCAAAGTATTTCATAAAAATGAGGAACATACTCCTAGAAAGGTATTTTACATTTGAGGGTACTCAGTGTGTACTTCAGATTCTTTTATTGTGTGACCCAGCTTCTTCAGGAGAAAAAGCAGCCTATCCCCTGAGGAGCAAGTTTTAGTTCTCAGGGCTATGGAAATTATTTCTTTTAGCTTTGTAGCAGGGATATTTGCCTTCTGTAGTAACTATGAAGTATCAATAAAAAGAAACAGACTGCAAAAGGATAATTTATATATGTTTACAGCTAATTACAAATATATTTTAATATCTGACATTGATTTATTTAATCTAGAAAGCAAAAAATTTCAAAGACTACCACATACAAAAACACTACCTGCATTTCTTATATGACACTTACCCACTACCTGCTCAGGATTCAAATCAAGCAACAAATCAGGTTCAGAGAGGTACTTTATGTGCATTTGCAAAACACAACGGATCCACGATCTTATAGTTAAGGATTGAAAAGACACAGAACTTGACTGAGAAAGTGCTTCACATACTGTGCTGTAAAAAGCAATTGAGGAGCATTAAAAACAAAAGTGAAATGGGATACATAGAGAACAGAGCTTAGAAAGAAACATTCAAGCAACTCCCTTGGCTTCACTGATGAACACAGCACTACAGACATGTTGAAAACGAATACTAAAGATGTACACCAAAAGATGTTAAACATCTGTCTCCATTTCTAATATTGTAAGTTTTAATTTTCCCTTTCTACCGGTGGTATATCTGTAGGCGCATACCAAGAGAAAAATTTAAGAAAACATAGAATAGCAAGAAGGTATAATCAACTAGGCAGTATAAAAACATAATAGATAAGCAGAAAAAAAACCAAACAAAGCAACAACAACAAAAATGGAACTATCAATAGCAATTAACGGATGAGGTAATGATAAAAAGTTGTTAAAGACAAATACACCTCTACAAGTCTCTTGATTGAGTAATCATGTTTCTATCCTTTTTTTCTTCATTGCATAAGCAGTCATTATCAAAGACTACCACATACAAAATTCCAGAGTACTTCTTTCCAGACAATAAAAGAAACCTGCCTTTTCTTAAGTCAAACACATGGCTGAGCCTAACCTCTAATCTAGGAGGAGCTGCTAGAGATAGAAATGCCTGACATGGTTTAAACTTAAATATAGCATTATGCAAACTCAAAATAATTTTTTTTTCTTCTCATTTTGTTTTGATACATGTGTAGGTATCAAACTAGAGGCTTTCACATTGTTTTTCAGACAAGTTCTCTTACCTAAAACTTGCCATTTTGGGATGGACAGGAAGCTCCTATGGTCTGCCTACTTTTATATCCTAGCACTGGAATTACAGAGGGTGACTTTTACCTTAAGACATCATTTTTGTACAACAAATACCTTATCCATTAAGCCATCTCCCCAACCCCTAAAACAATGTTTTATTAATTAGTTAATTAATTTTGAGAAAGGTCTCACTATGTAGCTTTGGCTGTCATGGAACTTACTATGTAGACTAGGCTGGCCTCAAACTCAAAGATGTGCCTGCCTCTTCCTCCTGAGTGTTAGAATTAATGCCCGGCTTAAAACCATTTTTAAACACACATAAATCAGAATTTTAAAAATGTTCTAAAACACTTTGAAGTTTTCCTTTAAAAAAATACAATACAGAAACTCAAATAACTCATTTATTACCTATATAACTTTCTTAGTGCTTAACAAGTTTGTGTTTCAGTGTTAACTGTTCTAATAAAAATTATTTTAAAATGTTGCCTGCCAAATGAGAGAATACACAGCAAAGATTACTGATCAATCACTGTGTGGACTAAGGAATCTCTCTGAAATGAGGGTACATACCTATTTTGTAGCAAATGACTTAGATATCTTGCTACAACTTGTGACCAGATGATATCATCCCAACCAAAAAGCTGAATTATTGATATTGCTGGCCGAGGCTGAAGACCTGGTGGTGCTGTGTTTGGCATATCCACTGCGAGCAAAGTGAAATCTAGATTTAAAAAGAGAAAGTTCAAGTAAGACATTTTCAACCCCACTCACCTCTAACTACAATAATTTTTAACCCCCCCCCCAAAAAAAAGTGACATTCAGAAATGTATTTTGAGTTTAAACAACTAAGTAAATGTCTGTAACACCATTTATATCTCTGAAAGGTTAAAAAGCATCTACCTTAGCAGTATAATTACAGACATGGCTCCTTCAAGTCAAACCGGTGGATTTATTAATATGTCTCTATTATTCAAAGACCCAGTTAAAACTATTTGCAGCTCCCACTCTTCTTTAAGTTAATGTGCCAACCCATAGGTGTTCATGCTCAATGCGGATACCAGCCATTGTATTCTATAAAACAGTCATCTCCTATGATCAAACACTTTCTTCAGAACCCACAATCTAGATACTGGAATTCCTCAGTCATGTTAAGCAGATTTCATTTTGTTTTCCTAAGAATCTGTCAATTCATCTGTACCTATACTAGCAAATCAACTACTCAGATGCAATGACTCCTAGGAAGCTCACCAATGGTGGCTGTTTACCCTTCAATTTGCCTCTTACTACTGAACTCACAGAATGAGTTCAGGTAAGACATTTTCTATATTGCTACTTCTAGACCATTCTCACTTCTTCCTCCCTAATATGTCTAGCTTTGAATCTCATATACACCATCAAACTATTGCAGTAACAAACACTTCCTGTTGTATGCCCTGCAGTTCCCCAGGTTCATATTCTCTCCTACAGCGATTTTGCCATGATCTCTTGTTTATTTGTAATTCCTTTATTCCAATGATCTATCCTCCCCTATACTTGAAATACTCCCATATTTATACCCAAATCACTTGGCATTATTAATTATAACCTCTGTAATTTCATTTTTAAGGACTCCACTTTGATAAATTTGCTTTGCAGCGCCTCTCTCCTAGGACCTAAACACTTTATAATTCTTTGCTTTTACTAAACTTACAATCAATTGACTACATAGCTTTTTCCTATCTCCCTTCTTCTTTCCTATCTTCTTTTCGTTCTTTAGGTAGTTTGGTGGTCCATTCTTACATGTGCTATACACTATGTTCTTTCTTCCTTCCCTTCCTTTTCCTTTTTTTTGGGGGGCAGGGGAAGGTTAAATTATTGTTCATTTTTTTTTTTTTTCAATACAGGGTTTCTTTATATAGCCATAAACTCACAGAGATTTGCCTATCTCTGCCTCTTGAGTACTGGGATTAAAGGTGTGTGAGAGCCATCCTTTTTCTTCTTGGAATGTGGGAATCTGAATCTAGTGCCATGTGCATGCTATGGAAGTATTCTACGCTAAACTGCATGACTTAGATACTATTATATATTATTTACTACATGATTTATATATTATTATATATTATATACTACATGACTTAGATATTATTTTCCTGTAACTCTCCTCTTTCTTCAATCACCTTCAATGAGCTGACTGATTCCCTGACATACCAAACCACTCGTGAAGACTGTGGAAGAGTAACTGCTCTGTAAGCATGTGGTCTTGGGTTCTAATTTTGAATACCCGCATGAAAGCTGAGCATGGCTGTGCATCCCCGTAATCCTGGTGTCCTTGAATTCGCTGACTACGCAGCTTCCGGTATAAGACACAGAACTACAGAGGAAGACAACCAACCTCTCTATGTACAGGAGCATTTGAACCCTCATCCTCATCCCCACACACCATATACACTCTCTATCCCACCAAATAAAAATCAGAAAAACGACAACAACCACTCAGGTTACTGGCGACTTACTTCGCCCTCTTGCTACAGCCAATGATGGACTCTCAGGTCTCATTTTATTGGACCCTTCCCCTTCCTAGTTTCCAGAGCATCACACTTTCTCGGTTTGCTTCTTCCCCGCACTCCTTTACATTGTCCTTTCTCATTTCTTCTTAGCCTTTAATCTTAACACAGAAATACACTGTGAACTGACTACAATCTCTTCATCAATTCTTACACTAATGAAGGTTTCAGCCAGTTTCTGGGCCTTAAAGACTATTTACCCATGGACAGTTTGCAAACAATCCTATAGCTCAGAGCTCTTCTGTCAAATCTAGCTTATTAAATTCAAGATCTCATTTAATGCATTTGGACTTTAATGGATACCTTGTAACAAATTAAAATGTCCTAAAAACTTAAGACTCTTCAATTTTCCAATTTGTATCCCCCTGATGTTTAGTTTTCTTATTGTTCTAGCAAGGACTTCAAGTGCTACACTGAATATAGAGATGGCAGCCTTGTCATGTCCCTGATTCCCTAGCAAGCACTTTCACTTCCATCATCTGCCACCCAGAGGGTGTTCCATAGGAAAGTCAGGGTTACCCCGTGCTCTATCACAACACTTACTCATTTATCTTAGCCTGTGGTTTTTGTTTGCTTGTTTGTGTCGCTAAGTGTGGATGTTTGTGCATGCACATGCAGAGATCATTGATGACCTTGTACAGCAGTCTTTAGGAGCCAGGCACCTTGGGGTTTTTTTTTTTTTTTTTGTTGTTGTTGTTGTTGTTTTGTTTGTTTTTTGAGACAGGGCCTCTTATTGGGACCAGGATGCAGGGTGATTTGGCCATGAGCCACAGGGATCTTCCTGTCTCCATCTCCCAGGGTACGGGATTGCAGCTCTCTGCTGCTACATGCAGCTGTTTTTTAGTGGAATTGTTTTAAGTTTCTCTCCATTTAACCTGGTGTTGGCTGTTGGCTTGCTGTATATTGCCTTTATTGTGTTTAGGTATGGGCCTTGTATCCCTGATCTCTCCAAGACTTTTAACATGAAGGGGTGTTGGATTTTGTCAAAGACTTTTTGAGCATCTAATGAGGTAATCATGTGGTTTTTCTCCTTCAGTTTGTTTATATGGTGAATTACATTGATGGATTTTCCTATTATGAACCATCCCTGCATGCCTGGGATGAGTCCTACTTAAATCTTGGTGAATGATGTTTTTGATGTGTTCTTGGATTCAGTTTCCGTTAATGAGTATTTTTGCATCAATGTTCACAAGGGAGAGTGGTCTGAAGTTCTCTTTCTTTGTCAAGTCTTTGTTAGGTTTAGATATCAGGATGACTGTGGCCTCACAGAATGTTTCTATTTTGTGGAATAGTTTGAGCAGTATTCGTATTAGCTCCTCAGTAAAGTTCTGGTAGAATTCTGAGCTGAAAACCTTTTTTTTTTTTTTTTTTTTTTTTTTTTGATTGGGAGATTTTAAATGACTGCTTCTATTTCCTTAGGGGTTATAGATCTATTTAGATTGTTTATCTGTTCTTGATTTAACATTGGTAAATGGTATCTATCAAGAAAACTGTCCATTTCATTTAGATTTTCCATTGTGAGAAGTACAGATTTTTGAACACCTAAAATTTTCTGTCATAAAATGGTCCCATCATAATATTATGTCAGCAAACTGCTAGTTATTCTAGGACACCTCTCATGAATGTTTCTGGTTACCTCATTTGCTTAGCAAATATTGTCAGGTCTACGTTCAAAATACCTTTCCTTCCTATAGATCTGACCACCATTTCCCACTATCTACACTATATAACTTCATTCCAAGCTGATCTGCACTGTTTGAATAATTTCCTAACTGCCTTATTTCTCTCTTTGCTTCCCTTTATCTCATCAGCCAGGAGCACACTAACTCTATTTAAAAAAAAAAAAAAAAAAAACAATAACGTCTAATCTCAAAGTGAGAGGTCTTCACAACTTCGTAAAAGGCAGAACACAGACTCTCCATTACTTCCTACCACATCTCAGCTCTGACCCTTTTCTGCTCCACATATGTCTGTATCTTTACCTCTAGCTCCCAAAACACAGTTGTTTCTCTCTCGCCTCCTTCAAGTCTTTGCCTCCCTGAGCACTCTACTTAAAATGGTAACCTGCCTTTCCCTGCTGTCCTGTTTTGGCTTGTTTTTGCTGGATGTGGTGTTGCTCATCTGTAACCCAGACTTGGGAATGTGAGTCAGCAGGACCACAAGTCCCACAACCCTGGGCTGCTGAGCAAGACTCTCAGAAAGAACACAAGAAATTACCCTTGGCCCATCACTCGCGAGGTCATAACCTTTGTTTATGGCGGTCCTCCTACTAGTACAAACAAAAGCAAGTGTTTAAATACTTAAATGAAGAAAATCATTTTCTCTCGACCTAAGTCTACTTCAAATCAGAAATATATGCCTTTGACTTTGGATTTATTCAGTATTTACTTTCAGAACCTAAGAGGGCGTTGAGTAAACTGAGGCAATGTTTTTGTTGATGACCTAGCATTCTAAATGATGGAATAAATTTCAGCTTACTGACTATCAATATGTATTATCTCAGACATCACACTAGTTGGAAAAAATGACCGTACCACACTCCCCTCTGTATTTGTAGAAGTGTTCAGTACTCTGTATGAAGTCTGAACTGCTGCAAGATTTCAATGTCTTGTTCATTTTTTACATTCATTCTCTCACTTACAGACTTTTTAGCTCACCTTTCTTCATCTTCCCCAGAACAAATGCTGACTGAGACCATAGGGACTTTTATTACTGATGTGTGTTTAAAGCATTACATTAGACACAGAAAACACCTTTAAGTGAACTCTGCTAACAGATGTGCAGTAACGACACAAATCCTTGTCTACTCCAGAACTTTTTAGCATATTATGAACAAGATAGTTCTCTGAAGAAAAACATAATGAACTCTTCCCAGGAAACTGCAAATGTTCATTTATTTAAAAAGTTGCCTGATTGTACATGAGCCCATAAAAAACTAAGGACACGTCTTCGGATCAAGTCATATAAAACTGCAATTTAACATAAAATCTAAGGGAAGTCAGAACACAAATATAAAAGCATTCCATTCCAACCTGAGCTTGTCGACATGGTGTTGAAGGGCTGGTCTTTCTTTTTTCTTTCTGTGGTTTATTTTTTTTTTTTTTTTTTTCTTGGTTGGGTTGGTTTTTTAATTTATCTTTATACAAATTACAAATATTCAGATAACTGCTCATAAAATATGAAAGTGTACTACTTAAACTGGATATAATCAAATGCTATCTTACTTTCCAAATAGTTATGAGAAATGTTTATGAACAATCTATGTTTACATCTGAAAATTAGCTTTTATTTTTAAAAAAGTAATCATTTAATTTTTAATGATTAAGTACATAAGCCAAAGATAACCAATTTAAACATATTTGTTTCATCACTTGTCATAATATTTGCTATAAAGCAAGACATTGTCACCAAGAATATAGAAAAAAATACTGACAAAAGCCTGCAAAAGGCGAGAGGAATTAGCAGTGAACAATGCTGACCTGCAGCAGCATCTGCAAGCTGGGCAAGGGGCACAACGTGGGTCATTCTCTGACTCTTCAGAAATGAAAAAAAGTGCCTCCACAGTGCGCTAGCGACTGCAGCAAGGTGGCGCTCTTTAGCCGATAATGAAGACTGCGCAATTAGGTCCATGTTCCCTCTTTGAAGCTCCTGACACAATTGCTGATGAACACTCCTGAAAAGTAAAAATATATCTAACACTCAAGAAATGAAAACAGAACATTTTTAACACATTTTTTTCCTTTTCACATTTATATCACGTGAAAACCGAAAAAGCATTTATATAATGCCAAGGCATAATACATTTCTTGTTATTTGAAGTATGTATGAAGGTATATTAAACATATAAAGTTAATATTAATTCCTAATGTCAAACATTAATTATATGCTTTTAATACGTCAGATCCAAATGAGAAACAAGTAGCTACAGGAAGAGAGTCTGCATTTTGAAATTCATGTATGAGAAGTGATTTTACTTGTAATCCCGACATGAAACTAGTTTTTTTAAACCTGTTTCTCTGGAGGGCCTTAGGCCACAGATATTTGGGGAGAAAGGAAAGAAGAACATTCGATTCATGTGTGGTATCTTAAATTGAGTATTTTTCCTTGTGTAAAACAGTAGCAGACCTTGTGCTGGTATAAGAAACTGTGAGGCCAGTCTTGGTTACTGGGGCAAAAGGTTAGAAAATTGTTCTCCCACACAGCAAACTAATCTGTTCATTAACAAAGCATAATTCACTTGTCTTAAATTCTGATTTATCATTAACTACTTTTTGAATAACTTAAATGTACACATCTTTGGACCCTAAGAGAAGCACAGGTACAGAAAACCGAGGCTACCAGACTATGCAAAGGAAAAACTTAGACTTCTCAATGATTGGTAAGAGAGGCATTTAAAAAGCAATCCATCCAGAAGCTAACAAAATGTCATGTTAAATGCAGAATGAGGCTATTTTCTCTGTTTACATCACTGCCAGACCAACCTAGAGAGCAGACGTAACTGCATGTATTATCATCCTTCCATTTGTTCTCTTCAGTTATACAGAAAGTGATGAGATGCAAAAACACAAACACAAACACAAACACCACAAAGAAAGCCCAAGGCTTCCTTTGACAGAAAGTGCTTTCAACTAAGGAAAGTAGTCAGTACATTAAAATATAATTAATTCAAGTGCAGTATTCCTGGTGCTGTAAGCAGCTGATTCAGGATATGCACCTAAAGGACTTCTACAAAGTGGTTTACAAGACCGTATCTTATCACAAAGCTATACACCAGGGAGTAAAACAATCTAAGTATAAATCACATATTAGAAGCTTCTATCTATTGACATTGGAATTATGCACAATCATGGGACACTACTTACTCTTAATACAATTATTAAAAAAAAGTATATAAATGTCTTGGGAAAAGTATACAGCAAGCTATTCTCATACAACAAACAAAACAACAAAGTATTTTCTATGTTCTCTGTGTAAAAATCTTGCCTGAGATGTTCTCAATTTACATTAGAGGCTAGAGGTGAGCTTAGGTCCTTCCTGTAGCTTAGAATAAAATGAATGATAAACTACTATAATTACTTACTGACTAACTCAACTGCCCCGCCTTTTACATACAGAAATCCAACCAAAACAATGACTATTTCTCCTGGTTTTTAGTAGCTTTTCTACAGCTATACTGATTTTAAATAAAAACAATTTATCATTCCCTATTCTTTATTCACTAAAACCTATTTTATTCTTTATTCACAAAACCTATTCTTTAGGAAGGATTAACATTTCAGATCAGTTTGTAATGTGCAAGAAACTCTTTCACTTAAGATGTTAAGCTTCTCATCTACCTGGCTTGCAGGGGTACCTCTGTAATCTCTTGCAATCAGAAGGATGAAACAAAGGGACCATGAGTTTGAAGCTATTCTGGTTGGCTACAAAGGAAGATCCCACCTCAACTCATGGGGAGTGGGTGAGGGATCAGTCCTCCAATCCTCACAAAACAAAACAAATAAAATAAAATAAAACTCAAAGTAGATTAAAGAATTATATATGAGACCTGAAACAAACTACTACAAGAAACACTTCAGGACACTGAACAGTCAAGGAGCTTTTGGATAAGATTCCCCCCAAAACCTAGGAAGAAAATGCAAAAACAGACAACTGGAATATTAAACTAAAACGCTTCTTACCACAAAGAAAACAATCAATCTAAAGCAATCAGAATTAGAGAAAATATTTACAAAATACACATCTGACAGGGGGTTAATACACAGAACAAAGTTCAAAAATCTGATCTAGCAATGTCCAACAATGATTGACATAGGGTCACTTGATTTTTATTTGATTTCCATTTTCTTCTGCAAACATCTCAACATTTTAGAAGTATTTATCTGTTATGTACTATATAGCTGCATTATGTTTATATTATCTGCTATATTTACAAGAGCAATAATTACATACTTTAAATTTTTAAACAACAGCAAAAAAGAATGGCTATTATCAGGGAGGAATTGCAGGGGAGAAAATGCAGGATGGATTTGATCAAAACATTCATGTATGAAATTCTCAAACAAAAAGTTTTCAAATTTTCTATTTGCAAAGGCCTGTCTTTCTCTATGATTAACTTCTAAAATAGGAAAGATTATTAATGTAAGTCTGTACAGCAAGATTGTTTTTATTCTTTTTCTTTTTACTGGACCCTTATTTCAATGATGGAGAGATGTAAGCTACTGATTTTACTAAAAGTGCGGTCTAAACCCTAAGTTTAGTAAATAGTGGTGAAGTATTAAAAAAAAAAAAAAAGACAGAAGGTAATGAGTGCTGGTGAGAATATAGAGGCATGGGAACCTTTTACACTGTTGGGAGGGGTGTATTATACATTAGTTCAGCCATTGTGGAGGTCCTCAAAGGATTAAAATGGAACTGCCGTATGAGCAGCAGTCCCATGCCTGGGCATGGATCCAAAGGAAATGAAGTCAGGATGTCAGGCCACATCTGCCCTCCCATGTTTACGGAGCACTACTTACTATACTCAAGAAATGGAAACAACCCCATGGTCCATCAAGTGATGAATGGACAGAGAAAATGTGATATACATACATGAGAGAGTATTAAATGAAATTCTGGGTCTTCAAAATTGTTTGGTTGGTAAACTACTTGCCAAGTGTCCTAGTAAAAGAGTTTCACTTGCTATGATAAAACACCAGACCAAAAGCAAGTTGAGAGGGAAAGTGTTTATTTGGTTCACAGTTCCATATGGTAGCATCTCACCAAAGGAAGTGAGACAGGAACTCCAACCAAGCAGGCATCTGGATGCAAAGGATGTGGAAAGGTGCTGATCACTGGCTTGCTCTTCACTGCTTCTTCAGCCTGCTTTCAGTCAGCACCCAACCTAGAGTTTCTATAGTAAACAAGGTATGGAACCACGCAAAATGGGCAGGGACCTACCCCATCAATCACTAATTAAGAAAATGCCCTACAACTATATCTTATGGAGAAAATTTCCTTAATTGACATTCTATCCTTTCTGATAACTCAAGTTTGTGTCAAGTTGACATATAACTTAGCACACCAATCAAGTTCAAGGTCCCTAGTTTGGAGCCCTACCATCTATGCAGAAGACCTGGGTGAAGGGCCATGCATCTATAGTGTCAGCACTGGGGAAGGTAAGACAGGAGGACCCCTGGGACTTAGTCGTCAATTACAATAGTTAAGTCGGCCACCTCCAGGTTCAGCAAGAGACCATGTCTTAATACTTAAAATGGAGAGCAACTAAAGACGTCTATCAATGACCTCGGGCCTTTACATATATGGATATTCATGTGCGTACACCCACCTGCCTACTTCTCCCCCCACTCTCAAAAATAACGAAATATTCTGACAAATGGAGAAAACGTTAATTGAAACAAGCCAGGTACAGAAAAAGAAGTCTCAGTTCTGCTGTGCCATGCAATGGAAAATAAACATAGATAATAACTATGCATTGTATTTTACAAAAGGTAAAGGCTGGTGATATAGCTCAGTGGTAAGGAAGTCTTGCTTAGCATGCACAAGGCCTCGGTGTTCATCCCTACTGGTGGACACACGCATAGAAATACTTTTTAAATTAGGTGTCTTCTGTAAGTTTGAAGCGTTCTGAGCATTTTGTCATAAAGAATGAATGAGGAACTAGATATGCTTGAGCTGACCTGACCACTCCACATCATATATACGCAGCACAACGTGTTGCCCCACAAGATGTACAAATGTGAGGTTTTCACATGTTACCTAAAGAAAGAAAACCCAAGACTCAGGTGATGGCTCATTACAGAGGGTGAAGCTGACAGCAGAAAAGTTAGTCCATCCAAAGTTCACACAGCTAAGGACCGACCGGTATCTGAAATCCAACCCTGACCCCGAAGAAACGATGCTTCCTTTACACACTAACTCACGGCATATATACAGATTTTTAAATGATTAAACACTAATTATCATTGTTTTCTCATCTTATGTGGACTAAGGAAATTTCAGGGAAGAAGGAAAGACCCACGAGACACAAAGGTGGCCCTGAGCTTTGAAAAGCCAAGGGCAATAGTAGAATTCCATATTAGCTAAGACTAGAAAAAGAACACATGTACTCAAGGCAAAACTGAAAAGGACAACAAATATGACCCACCTTTTACCTCTTCAGCAAAAAATGATGACACAGCAGGAGTATCTACTGGTTACCTCAGGGATATGATTCAGAGATGTGAATGCATAATGGTAAAACACAAACCATTATGCAAATATCTGATGCTGCCAGAGTATATCCCTTTCAAGGCAGAGCGAGCAGAGGAAAGACAGGGTCCAACTAAAGCCAAGACCCTGACCCCACAAAGAGCGTGCTGGAGAAAAGTGCACCATTGAGTGCTGCCGATGGAAAACGCTACACACCCAGAACATGCAAGCGTTCCCACTAGAGCTTCAACGCCAAACTTCCTAAGTCTTTTGCATTTAGAGTAAATTAAGACTTGATCACAATTTCTAAATCCTATTAGAAATCACAGTGAAAAAGAAGAAATGGTAAGCATCAGCCATTATGGGGGCTGAATCAAATATCTGCATACAACCACCAGTTAAAAATACCTGTGCAGTCTCAGGTACTTTTCAAAATCAAAATTTCTGGAATGGAAAACTAAATATAAACGACTAGTGAAAATGGTG